CATAATTTATGAGAACGACAACAGTCGTAAAGATTAAACGACTCTGTAGATTGTTGGGGCACTGTAGCACCTTGACACCCAGAATTGTCTCCGTTGCTGCCAACAGCGTAAGGATAGGGAAGCTGAACAAAGTGGACACGATACTCATGGTGATTGACAAGTACCTAGTAAAAGTGAATGGCAAAATTCGCGGTGAGTTTTGGGTCTGAATGTTCCGCCGCCTGAGCTGTGAAAGTGATTCATCACATTAATGCCGCCTCACAAGCAGTCTGAAAGTCGTGATTCCCCTGGATACTTATGTGCATTCTTTTCTTAATGTGTCTGGTCAGCCAAGATGCTTTAGCTTATGCGAGAAGCGCTAAGGGTCCCATCAAGTACATTGAAGAAATCACACATTCAACATCAAAAACATCCGCTTGGCCAGGATGCGGCCAGGGGCCTTTCTTGAAAACCTGCCTCACGCGGTTCCATGTGCGCTTACAACATGTCAGTGACAACAATTAGCTGCAAGCCAAATTGCAAAAGTTCCATTGTTGCTACCTCAATATTTCCTGTGAGGTGCTCATGTCCAGACCTGACAAGGCCTGACTCGAAGCCATCACGATATGCAGGTCGCAAAGTCCATCTCCATTAGGTTTAGCTTGCGAGCTAACTACAACCTCGCACTGGGATGCCCCCCTTCTGCCATCGACCGACTGGGATCGCCGGCCGCTGGAACTCACCAACGTCAGCAATCCTCCGCTAGAGGAATCTGTCGGCCGAGATGAATCACATGTACGCACATGCACATGTATGGATTGCCATCCTTGGATTTGACCGATCCATCTGTACCGCATTGCTGGGGCTCAGCACCTCCTCGCCTCACCTGACCCGTCGCATTGGGGTTCTCTTCCCAATGAGTAACCACTTTCCGAGCCAAGCCTACTCCGCGCTTGCGACTCAGGGCGCCCAGACACAAAACTAACGAAGCGACGGCTAAATAGTACCCATAAAGTCGGCCTCATGTTTCACAAGCAATGACGATGCCTTCTTCCGTATACAAACCTGATTATTCTTCGCTCCCTTCTTGGAAAGTATATCGCCCTACCGCAGGCGCCTAGACATTCCCAAAAATCCATTTCATCTTCGATTTTGAACAGCCACAATGACGCAGACCGTCGAGCCCGGAACCCTCGGCCACTTGACCGCTGACGAGGAGAGCAAACTGCAAGAAGCTTGGAAACTTCTACTCAAGCTCAGCGGAGTGAAGTCGTCTCACGATGACCCGGCGTCAGACGTCAGCAAGGACCACCAGTCCAAGAGCACACCACCAGACGTCTTCCGTGAACGCCTCTGGGGCTCCGTGCGCCAACATCACCCAGACGCCATTGTCCTGCGATTTCTCCGTGCGCGAAAGTGGGACGTCGAGAAGGCCATGGAAATGCTCATATCGACAATCGACTGGCGTCACGAGCGACGAATGGATGAAGAGATCGTCAGGAAAGGCGAATCCGTCGCGTTCATCACATCGCCCTCTGAGGATCAGAAGAATTTCCTCGCGCAGTACCGGTCGGGAAAGAGCTACGTGAGAGGCTCAGATATGGAAGGTCGCCCCGTGTACATCGTCAAGGCTCGGCTGCACAACCCCAGCTTTCAGTCCGCAGCAGCGATGGAGGCGTTTGTCCTTCACAACGTGGAGACCATCAGCCTGATGGTCAAGGCTCCGAACGACAAGACGTGTCTCGTCTTTGACTTGAGCGGCTTTGGTCTTCGTAACATGGACTTCCATGTCGTGCAGTTCCTCGTCCAGGTCTTCGAGGCTAGGTATCCCGAGTCTCTCGGACTGGTGCTGGTGCACAATGCTCCGTTCGTCTTCTGGGGTAAGCGATGCGATGTTTCATATCCACGGACGCCCACTAAACTTGATAATAGGGATCTGGAGTGTCATCAAGCACTGGCTTGACCCCGTTGTTGCGTCGAAGATTACCTTCACCAGTGGTAAGACGGGCCTGTCAAAGTACATATCTCCAGAGAATTTGCAAAAGTCGTACGGCGGGAATGACTCGTGGGAGTACAAATACATCGAACCTGTCGTTGGAGAAAACGAGCGATTGGACGACGACGAGAAGCGATCCAAAATTCAAGCCGAGCACGATGATCTCATTTCTCAATTCGAGAAAACGACGGCCGAGTGGGGTCGTCATGGGGCGGGTTCAGATGAGGCAAAGAGAATTGATGGGCGGAGAGTCGAAATCGCCAGGAAGATGGAGGCGAACTATTGGAAGTTAGACCCATACCTGAGGTCGAGGACGCATTATCATCGAGCGGGGGTCATCGATGCTGGTGGAAAGATTGATTGTAGGGCAACAAAGGTGGTGTAGGACGAAAGCATCAACCAGCTCGAACGGCTGGCAATTTCTTGTGCAACCTAAAACCTCAGCACGTCATCAACTCGTAACAATGGATGACAGGGCAGCGATGGACGGTCGACTCTAATCCAAAGAATTCAGACTGTCTCTCCCAAGTCCCAATCCACCTCAGCTTGACCGAGATCACAGTATGTTGGAGCAATTCGCATGTCGCTAACCAATAGCAGATCCTCTGAACGGGCAGAAATCATGGAACGCAGGAATTCTTGCTCGGCGATCCAGTTGGATATCTTGGCTGTGCCACCTTCTTCCCATCCTAGGGCTGATCTGATCCCGATTGTCGTATTAATCCTGTTGAGTATGCTCTGAGCTTTCTGAAGCTGATCTGGCGTGCTGTACGCGCAGTAGGCGACGAGTCTTATGGATTGAACAATAATGAGGGCACTAGCTCCATCATGTGGCATTGAAGCCGGCAGTCCATTTGAGGAAAGATCCCCTAGTGCATACGGTACGCTGTAGAGGATATCGTCGATGGTCTTCCGAACATCATCCTCCAAGAATGAGACGCATGCTTCCCATGCAGCGCTATCTTCTTGCGTACTACGGAATTCAACAGGGCCGGTTTGCGTCTTACCATAATACAGAAGCATAGTCAGCAGGAGTATCAGGCGCGGAGATCGGATCAAGATGATGATACAAGCCGTATCAGCATCGTAGGATGTCATGCCCGATGCAACCTGGCCTAGCATAGTCGGAACGGTACGTCCGACAAAGCTTTGTTCCCAGTATGCGCCGGCTTCGGCATCCCAACAGGCGAAATCCTCAAGTGCCTCGAAACACTTTCGTATGGTCGATGTGATCTTGTTTGGGGTTTGATCCTCAGGGGAGCCTGCAGAAACACTCTGACTTGGTCTCTGTCCGTGATTGAGGGACAAATGGCGCGTCAGAATGTTTCTGAGCGACAGTACTCTGGACATCATAGACATTGCCCGGATGAGGGGATCAAACATGCCTAGCAATGATGCTATTGCTCCAGGGTCGCAGTATCTGTCGTCTTCGTTCAGAAATGAGTAGGTTTGCTACAAATAAATGCACATTAGCCCCGATGATGACGGCTGGCTCGTTGAGCTGTGAGAAATGACTACGTACCAATCTCAGATGAGCCAGGAGGAACAACTGAGCACCTATTTTGGAGATGATCTGGCCCGGCCCCCTTTGTTCCAAGAGGTAGAAGAGCCCTGGTGCATGTTCCTGGGAGTCGCCAGATCCCTCGCCGCTGATGTCCTACCATATGTCAGCAATGTCCTCAGTAAGGATGAGAATGTCCATCTGCACTTTTGGCACGACCTCCACTCACCTTGAGCATGCACATGAGTAAGATGGTTGTAACGATCTTGTCGTCAGTCGCAGAGCCTTCTACCTGCATTGCTTCCTGCAACATCTTAATGGTGCGGCTGTAATATCTGTACGACTGCAGTCGGAACCTCGCGCTTCCATGGCGGTTAAAAGCTGCGTAATGAGCAACACTCATGGTGGCCGTCTCAAGAATACCACGATTTGAATGATCGTAGAGGGCAGGGAGGAAACTAAGGTGGCCTGAGACTCCGTCTGTGTCGTCAGGTGATACGAAGCGTTTGACAAAGTAGCAAAGTGATATTTCGTCGTCTGGCAGTTCTGGCGAGCGATGGATGACCTCACTGCGACTTTGAGAAAGCAAAGCTAGCTTCTCGCTGCTTTCTGAGCTTTGTCGAGTCAAAGTTTTGGAAACCACTCTCCGTTCATTCCTCCCGGATACTGATGAGGTGATTGCTTTGGAGGGCGTTACCTCAAAGTCGGTCTTCGTCAGACCAACTCGAAAGTGAAAGGTGTCGGTGTAGCCCGGGCAAGCTTTGCCATACACCATGCATCGTTGACACGTCGGCTTTTTCCCATCGCACTTCGAAATTAGGTAGTTAGCTCCTGATTCTGAAAGCTTTCACGAGAGCATGTGCATCCAAAGAGACGACCGTTGACCACCTCTCCGTCGAAGACTGCCCCCACCTTTATTTTTCGCTGGCGACATCGCCCGCAACCCGTGCTGAAGTGACCCGGAAACACCATTCTGGCAAGTGAAACGATCGCATGTCAAAGCGCATGGGTGGCGTCGAGTGCCCCGAGGAATACGGATAGATCGATGCGGTACGGCAATACGGTGATGCGACGAGAATAGTCTTCCGCCATAGTGAAAGGCGAGATGGAGGAGGCACAACGTCGACGGCTGGAGGCGGGGAAAGTCTGCAGTCAAACAAATCGTGGCTGTCAGCATTGCGAACGCGCGTGCCAGGCATAAGCAGCAGGGGTGGGGGCCAGGGATTCAGGCTATGAGGGGGTGCACCCAATATTGCTGGAGACAAAATGAATGCCACGATGACCCATGACATGGTTATTTTCCTAACCTCTACAGACCAATATTAATGGCCTTCTCAATTTCTCTGGCCCAGCCAGCATATATTCCTCTCGGCCACCAAGTCCCCTCTGTGTCTGCTTGACCTTGTTGTCGCCTCAAATTACTTGTACTCTTGTTGTATGAGAGTACTTGTATGGCAGCCATAACCGTAACGCCTGCCCTCTCAAAGAAAATAATAAAAAAGTCAGTCCCCTCGCGCACAACCCCTAAACGGTTTTAGGCGTCCTGATCAAGCCCCAGATGATACCCTTCTGTCCGTCGCCGTTGAAGCAGGTAACCCCCGCCCTGACACCAAGCCTGCCGTTCTTCGCCAGCCGCGACGACGAACTGATGTAGAACCTCACGTCATTGGTGCCGACGAGCAGCTTTGTCCGCGCCGCCGCCGTGTCGAAGCGGACGGCAAACGTGCAGGTACCCTTGGCGGCGACCCAGGCCCAGCCGTCGTGCTTGAAGTCGGCGGCCGCAAACGTGTAGGCGCCTTGGCGCGCACCGACATCGTCGGCGATGAGGTTGCAATCGGCGGCGAGGGGGGCGGCGGACGAGGTGTCTGGGGTCGGAGTGACGGCTACCTCGCCGCAGTACTCGAAGCGGCCGCCGGCTGTGTAAACCGGATGCTGGTAGTCAAGGGCGCGACGGGCGAGGGAGCTGGGGTTGAGAGAGGTGTTGATGGGGGAGGCTGAGGCGAGGAGGGCGAGGGCAGAGACGATGCCGAGGAGGAGGTGGAGGGGGGAGCGCATGGCGGCGGTGTGGTTCAGGTCTGCTGGGTTTGTCAGAACATGTCGACTTCGGGGTTCTTGATGAAGGGGGGACTACCTGTCAACTTGGTTTATGGGTTTGTTTGATGGGTTTATTGGTCGAAGAAAGTCGGGAGGTGCTGGAGATGTGGGTGACAGAGATTAACTTGGATGAAGTTCGGGCAGCAAAGAAGGGAAAGAGCGAGGCAGGTCCTAGGTATTTTATAGACAACACTGACGGAGGGCAAAGGCAGGCTCGAAAGTAATCGAAGCTCAAGGCAGGAGGACCGGGTAAAGAAGCAGCAGCAGAAGCAGCAACAGCAGGATAGCGTCTTGCATATAGGCCGCATCTCGTGAATCACAAGCAGCCCCTTTTCTCTCTCCCCCCCCCCCGAAGTTAGGCCTAGGCATGATTCGCCCACATCACGACCTGGCCGCGGCGGGGTACATCCCAGTCATTCATCCGGGGTTGAAAGAGAGACAGAAGAGAGAGGGGAAGGCATCGTGGCAGTTTTTTCTTTGCTCGATTGGAGATGGCCTGCAGATCGGTCATGCTGTTGGTCTGCGGGCTTCATATTGGGACGTGGTGCACGCCGCACGGTGACGAGTGCCCGCAGGTCTGCATGGATGGGCTGTTCCGTCAGCAGGGGGCCGGGGGGGGGGGGGGGGCCGAAAAGGCCAACCGGTCGATCGTTCGAGATCACGCAGCGAAGGAGAGGGTAAGATGGGGCTTCCGAGCCTGACGTTACGGAGCGATAGTTTCGTGATAGTGATGAGGCACCTTGGACCCGAGGGAGAGGATTGGCGGCCAGAAGCGCCGGCCCTATGTGATGTCTTTGACAATGGTCAGGGCACCAATCACGACAATGCGACAGGGGGGACCGACTCTGGCGAGGATTGGCCTATGAGCCAAGAGAATCGGCAGCCGAAGTGGCCATGATGGGCTTGAAGTGCACCAGTCATGCGCAGGACCATGCAGCCCCCGACGGTGATGGAGGGATGCGACCTACGCGACCTATGGAAGCCGACGCGGCGACACATGGTCGCATCGTGGGGCCAAGGCGAGGGTCAGGCCGAAGGGGCTCCAGGGTCGGGGGCCGGTCCGCCCCCCACACGGGTCGCCGATGGTCGGCCGGCGCAGTCGGATGCGCGACAGCGGTGAGGGCGAAGGTGGGCGATTTGTGGTGTTGCTGTCATGGGTTGGGTGATGGGTGGTGGGGGATGAGCGACAAGGCTTGACTTGTGAAAGAACAGGGCCATGGATCACGATACATGGTCCAGTGAAAGACGTCAATGGAGGAAACATGCTACCTACCTGCCGACCTAGGTACCCTTGGTACCTTACCCTACCTAGGTAGGTACCCTCGGTAGGTACCCTCGGTAGGGAAGTATGCCACCAAATTGAAGACAAGCAGGGTGATCAGTCGCCACACGAAGGAAATGTGATTGGGGTGACCTAATAGAGTCCTCCAGACAGGCATCTCAAGGACAGAAAGAGCGAGACATTACGTGATGCCATTCTCGTCAGTTATGCGCCTCAACAGAAAGTCAGAGTCAAAGGAGAAAGGCCACGACGAGGAGCTAAAGATCACGTAAGGACCCCCCAAATGGCCCAAATGGCCCAACTGGGGTCCTTCTCGGCACCCGGCACCCAATCGAAGCCCCCCAAAACAGTCGCTCTGACCAATGCCGAGCACTGACCGTGATGTCAGCCTCCCACCAGCTCGCTCCAGCTTGCCTCGTCTGTCCTTCTGCCTCCTCTTGTGCCTGACACACGGAATGCAAGTGACCTCTCTGGTCTTTGGCCCCAATCTCTGCGTGCTCGCCAGAATTTTACCTCTCCTTTCGTCCACCGGCCAATTCTCACTCCCCATTTGGAGCGCACGGGTTGACGGAACATCATCAGGACAAGCATCAGCAAGGCATAGTACAACCGACTGCCCATTGTCCAGCTTCAGCCTGCCATTTCTCAACCAACAAGCTAGCCCCCACGCCCTTCGAGAGCATCGCATCGCTTAGCATCGTATACCTTACTGTAGCAGCAAGGCTTTCGCCAGCACACTTGACCTATCCGGCCTGTCACAACAGTTGATGCATCTTGCCGCGACCTGACTCCCGACAAAGCAGCCCCCATCCAGGCCTCGCGCCTCGCGCTCTCCCCGTCGCCGTCCTACCGACTATGGCGGCCCATCGACCCGCCAACCCTAGCGGCTTGCGAAACACGTACAACGCTGCCTCCAGAAACTCCTCCATTCACGAAGACGACCGGGCAGCGGGGGCCTCCAGCAACGACGATGGCGACGCGCCTGCCTCGCCTTCAACCGAAACGCCTCAGCCCGGACCAAGCGCTCCTTCTCGACCGCCTCCTCCTCAGCACACCGAGTCGACAGGCCTCCTCCACTCGGTCCTACGCGACAACATCAACGAGGGCCATGGCGGCCATGGCACCTTCTCCCCCAGGCCCTCGAGCCCTGTGACGAGTTTCAACAGCTACGAGAACGATACGGCCTCCAACGCCTCCCAACGCGGCGGCCTCGACAAGGTGATCAACTCGATCACGGGCAGCGAAGACTGGAGGAAGAGCTGGCACAAGTCTGTCATGTCAAGGAGCATCACAAACTCGGACCGCCTCGCTGCCGAGGCCGGCTTCAAGGCCAACACGCGCATGTACCTGTCCTATTACTTTCCCTTCCTACAGTGGATGCCCCAGTACAAGTGGTCCTACCTCAAGGGCGATTTCGTCGCCTCCCTGACCGTCGCCTCTGTCTACCTGCCCATGGTCCTGTCGCTCGCCGAGAACCTCGCCCACGTTCCGCCCATCAACGGCCTCTACGCCTACGTCATCAACCCCCTGATCTACGCCATGCTCGGCAGCTGTCCGCAGATGATTGTCGGTCCAGAAGCCGCCGGCTCGCTCCTCGTTGGTACAGTCGTCAAGAGTAGTCTGGGCACAGGCGAGGATGACGACGACGACGTGCTGCAGGCGCAGATTTGCGGCATCGTCGCTGGTATGGCGGGGGCCACCATTCTGCTCGCCGGTATCGCTCGTCTGGGATTCCTTGACAGCGTGCTCAGCCGGCCATTTCTGCGCGGCTTCATCTCGGCCATTGGTTTCGTCATCTTTGTGGACCAACTCATCCCCGAGCTCGGTCTCAGTCGCTATGCGGATGAGCAGGGTGTTGGCCACGGCAGCAGCGTCGACAAGATTGACTTCATGATTAAGAACCTCGGCCGCACGCACAAGTTAACCTTCTTGGTGGCTGCTGTCAGTTTCACCATCATGATGGTCCTGCGCGAGATGAAGAAGCGGCTCCAGCCCCGCTACCCCGGTGTCGCCTACCTCCCGGACCGGTTCTTCGTCGTCGTCGTCTCCATCATCCTCTCATGGCAGCTCGGCTGGGAGGGCAAGGGTGTCGAAGTCCTCGGCACCGTTGAGGCGGCGTCCGGTCACCTCTTCACCTTTCGCTGGCCGTTCCAGCTCTCCCACATGAAGCACATCCGCGAGGGCATGAGCACCTCGTTCCTCATCGCGCTTCTCGGCTTCTTCGAGTCCTCGGTTGCCGCAAAGAGTCTTGGTGGTTCAGACAGCATCCAGGGCATGCAGCTCAGCCCCAACCGCGAACTTGTCGCCCTCGGAGCGGCCAACGTCATGGGCGCCTGCTTTATGAGTCTGCCTGCGTTTGGCGGCTACGCGCGAAGCAAGCTGAATGGTTCGACCGGCGGCAAGAGCCCCATGAGTTCCGTCTTCCTCAGCGGCATTGCCCTGTTTGCCATTTTCTTCCTGCTCCCCTATCTGTACTACCTACCGGTGAGTTGTCTCTTGTTTGCCGCCATGTGTACCGTGCGCTGACCCCACAGAAACCTGTCCTCTCGGCCATGATCACTGTCGTCGCATGGTCGCTTCTTGAAGAGGCTCCCCATGACATCGCGTTCTTCCTCGGCATCCGGGGCTGGAGCGAGCTTGGCCTCATGGCCATCATCTTCCTGGCCACCATCTTCTACTCCCTCACGGTCGGCATGGCCATAGGCGTCGGCTTGTCGGTGCTTCAAGTCATTCGACACTCGACGCGCCCTCGTATCCAGATTCTCGGCCGCATCCCGGGCACGCACCGCTTCGAAAACGCAGAGGCCGACCCCGAGCGACTCGAGTTCTTCGAAGGCTGCCTCATCGTCAAGATTGCCGAGCCCATGACCTTTGCCAACACGGGCCAGCTCAAGAACCGGCTGCGCAGGCTCGAGCTCTACGGCACCAACATGGCGCACCCGGCGCTGCCACGCCTCCGCCACGAGGAGAACAACCGTAACATCATCTTTGATATTCACGGCGTCACCTCAATGGATGGCTCCGGCACCCAGGTCCTCAAGGAGATTGTCGAGAGCTACCGCGAGAGGAACGTCCGCGTCTTCTTCAGCCGCGGCCCCGGCAACAAGAAGCACCACATCTGGCGGCTCATGCGGCAGTCGGGCATTGTTGAGCTCGTTGGCGGCGAGGGCCAGTTTGTGGCCGACGTGCAGGAGGCGCTCAAGATGACCGAGTTTGAGGAGAGCGCGACCAACGCTTAGTGGGTGTTGACGTGCGCGTGAAGGGGCGAAGGGGAGCGCAGTCATTGTGTGATCGAAAAGCATCGATCGGCGTTTCTTTCATTTTTGGGCATAGCATGCATGTTTGGGGTGGCTTGACTAAAGAAACAGCACTAGATGGGGCAGGGGGATGATTTGTAAGTACACAATGTTCCATGATTTTGGCATGACGAGTCTTGTCGGAACGTTGAGGCGGGGGGCATTGGGCGAGCTGGATGTTTCCCGTTGGCGAGGCTGTGGAGCAAAAAAAAAAAGAGAAATGGCTTGGAGCAGGCACATCATGATTTCACTCAAAAAAGATGCATAATTGGAAAAGAACAAGGCTATTTTTATTTTCACATTCCCTTTGGCTGCTTCCTACATTTTTCTTTACAAGACCTCGTTGACGAACATGCCGGCCATGCCCATGCCGGTACCGATGCACATGCTCACGACGAGGACCTTGCCCTTGCGGCTGCGCAGCTCGCTGAGGCCCGTGACGACCTGGCGGGCGCCGGTGGCGCCGAGGGGGTGGCCGAGGGCAATGGCGCCGCCGCGGGGGTTCATCTTGGCCCAGTCGAGCTCGAGCTTGTCGCGGCAGTAGACGGCCATGGAGGCAAAGGCCTCGTTGACCTCGAAGACGTCGACGTCGGCGGCCGAGACGCCGACCTGGCTCAGCAGCTTGGGGATGGCGACCGAGGGGCCGATGCCCATGATGCGGGGCGCGAGGCCGGCGACGGTCGAGGCGACGTACTTGGCGAGGATGGGCTGGCCGAGGGCGACGGCCGTCGAGCGCTTCATGAGGACGAGCGCGGCGGCGCCGTCGGTGACCTGGCTCGAGTTGCCGCCGGTCGACGTCTCGCCCCACTGGGGGAAGGCGGCGCGGACCTTGCCGAGGGACGCGGCCGTCGTGCCGGGGCGGATGCCCTCGTCGCGCGTCAGCGTGACCGTCTGCTCGGTGCCGTCGGCGGCCTTGACCTTGGTCGTGATGGGCACAATCTCGTCGGTCGTGAGGCCGTCCTTTTGCGCGCGCTCGGCGCGCTGGAACGACTCGGCGGCAAAGGCGTCCATCTGCTCGCGCGTCACGCCAAAGTCGCGCGCCACGTTCTCCGACGTCCAGCCCATCGGCTGCATGCAGTCGGCCGCCTCCTGCGTGCGCGACGTCACGGCCTCGTCGAACGGCTGGTCGAGCGCGTCGCCGCCGATCGACATGGACTCGGCGCCCAGCGCGATGCCCACGGCGATCGACCCCTGCGCAATGGCGTGCGCAATGTCCGCCGTCGCCTGCAGGCCGGATGAGCAGAACCGGTTCACGGACGACGCCGCCGATGTGTTGGGGAAGCCGGCGGCGAGGGCCGCGGCGCGGAGCTTGTAAGCGGCCTTGCCGTCAGAGACCTGTTTTCCCCCCCATTCGTCAGTACACGGATGCCAGGCTGCGGGGAGAAGCAGGAGAGAAGGAGGTGGGCAGAGAGAAAGAGGGGCGAGAAAACATACATTGCCCATGCGAATGTCCTCCACGAGAGCCGGGTCGAGGTTGGAGCGCTCGCGGACCTGGTCGAGGAGCGCAAAGATCATGTACTCGAGCGAGGTGTCCTTGAAACCACCTTTGCGAGCCTTGGTCAGAGGTGTGCGCGCAGCGAGGGTGATGACCACATCGTCGGGGTTCTTGGCCTGGCTTTGGGTCTGTCAGCTGAGAGCCGGGAGAGGGAGGGGGATGAGCATCAATTGGGGGATGACAAGAAGGAGGAAAAAAAGGACGTACATCTGGTTCAGAGCCGAGCCCGGGTTCAGGTGCTTCACGATGGAGGAGATGCGTTCCATAGTGCTGACGTTGATGTGGATGATGATGTGGACGTCGGTTGATTGGGGGGGGAGATGGCAGATTAGGGGAGGGAGCAGGAGGAGTGAAGGAGGAAGGAAGCAAAGGAGGCAGGAGATGGGGAAAACGTTTCAATAAGAAGCCGTGACATCGTCGAGAGAGAGAGGGGGCCAAGGACCTGACGGTGGCACGCCTCGGGAGTCGAGTCGACGTCTGGCGGCGTTTGCAGCTGGGGTGTCTGGATGGGGTTTGCCGCAGCCCATGAGCCGAGGCATCCAGAGGTCCAAGGGCAGCCGCAGCCTGGGGTAGCCATGACTAAGGAGAAGGGGGGGCGCGGCCCACCCCTCCTATTCCCCCACATCCGTCAGGTGACTAAGCCGAAAGAGCCCGGCCCCAGAAGCAAGGGTCGTGAGCGAGACACGGCCGATACCCGAACAGATCTTCCCGTCTCTCTGCGCGCGCCAAACCTCTGCACGCTGGAATGCCCTGACGTTACTTGGCCGAGGTGCAATGTGGCAGTGTCACAGTGTCGCAGTGCGTGCCAGGCGAAAGCACACGTGGATTTTGAGTTGACCAGTGCATGCATTCAAAAAGCAGCCCTACTGGTAGGTAGTATGTCCAATGAAAAGAATATAGACCTGGCCTAGTGTAACAGTTTATCCATCTCGACCAACTACCCAGAAAACAAAAAACGCCTGGTTCGGCCCCAAAGGTCTGTCGTGAAAACATTACGCAGTATGTGCCCAAATCCGCATCTTTTGCATGCCGCCACATCTTCTGCATGCTGCCGCACTACGCACCAAGCAGCCACATCGCAGGCACGACACTGGCTGCCATCATGCCCAGAGACACCCGAGCCACACCGGCCGCGCTCTGCGGCTTGACACCCTTCGCCTGGACCCCAAGGTACCAGGAGCCAATGTCCGTCAGCTCACCAGCATTGTTGAGGAACGGCACGTTGGGGCCGACGTTGCTCGCCGCAGAACGGAACGCGCCGTAGTACGAGTAGAGCCCAATGTCCGGGACGCGCTCAAAGTAATCACTCGTCGTGTTGTAAAACTGCTCCGTCGGCTGCAGGTCCTGGTGCGCATAGGCGTACTCGGTAACCCAGATGCTGGTGTTGGGGAAGCTGCAAGACACCTGTTAGCATGCGTCCGTGACCGTGCGCTCTTCTCGTGTGTGCGTGTGTGAGTGTGGAACATACTTCTCAATGCGTTCGCCAATGTGGCTCGCCAGTCCCTCAAAATTGTCGTACCAATGGACGGGCAAAAAGTCATACGTGCAATTCTTCTTCGTGTCCTCGCCGACGCTGATAAAGTCGGAGCAGTTGCCCAGGAACTGATGCAGCCACTGCAGGCCGTAGGGCTGGCCCGTCATGGCGGGCAGGCCGACCTTGATGCCCCTCTCCTGGAGCGGGATAAAGTTGGCGACCCAGGCGCGGGCGGCGAGGGCGGGCGGCGTGTCGCTGCCGCCGTACTGGAAACCCATGTCGGGCTCGTTGAAGCCCAGCACGCGCGTGATGTTGCGGCCCTCGTCGTCGATCATCCGGATGACGGCGTCCTTGAACTCCGTCTTGTTGAGGTCCTTGTGGTCGACACCCCACATCATGGGCACGTACTCGAGCTGCTCCTGCGTGTAGTCTGCGAACGTCGGGCTCGGCCGGAAGCCATAGTTGTAGTACCAGGAAATGTCGGAGCCATCTTGCATCCAAATCTTGTGGTCGCTGGGGAAGTCCGTCTCGGCAATGAAGCAGAGGCCACGCTTGTTCGAGCTGCTCTGTGCTGTCGATAGTGGCAGTAGCGGGAGCAGCGCCAGCAGACCGACAGCCCGGGCGATCATGGCGGGCGGTTTGTCGGGTATTGTGGATAGCAAATCAAGTAGAAAAAAAGACTGTCGTTTCGAAACGGCGCGCAGACGACGGTGAATGAGGAGTACTGCTCGAGATCGTGGCAGTGTCGAAATGCGGCACAAGGTAATGAATGTCGGCGTCGTAGGGGGGGGAAAGGAGATTGAGCAAGCTGGTCGATTGTCGCTGGATGGGGGAACAGGCGATGAACGAGTGGACGCGCAATATATTGAATGCGCTGTATATGCAGGTCGATGAAGAAAGGGAAAAATGAGTGACGGAACTGATAGACAGACAAGTGCAGGAGCTGAGAGGAAGGAAACACGGCTGGTGATGGTCCACGGCTTGGCGGCAGGAGATTTCGCTCTCGCGTCACCAACAGGATGCCCACCGGCCATTGTTAGCGCCTTGATGTGCTGTACCTCAAGCTGCGCCATGGCTGGGTTGCGCCCGCCGTCGAGGATACGAGGTCCCTAATCATCCAGGCAACCTACCTAACCTCAGGTACCTTTCGGTGAGGTGGCCAATGTTGCGTCCATTGAGCCTGCCCCTAGGTAATCACCCGACTAAGTCGTCCTGCCCATGAAGCCATTTCACCGCTTGAATCTATCTCGTCCTGAATGGGCGCGAAATACCATCGCCCAGCGACTCATCCTCACGTTCAACTCGTTGATCGCCCGGCCGTACCGGCGGTTAGAGATAAGATAGGGCGGGACAACCTAATGCACGCCGCCCCTCTGCTTCAACGCAAAGAGGCACCCGAACTCCACCAGAACAAGGACGCCCTGACGCTAGGTGCGCCGCCAAGCCGCCGTCGTCCTGGTCGTATCCGCTACGGGTCTCTCGTGCTTTCGGAGCTCGAGCTCCTGCCCTTGATCGAATTGACCGAGATGTGCTGAATCATCAAGAACATGTTTCAATATGGTTCAACAGTGTCTTGAGGTCGACGACGCGCCAACCTCGCGACCTGCATTGTCACCTCATCGACGACTTTCCCCGTCTTTCGGTCCATCTCAGCATACCTATTCTTGTCTGCCACCATGGCAGGCGATGTCGTGGCCCTCTGTCGACGATGGCAAAGCCTTGGTCAATGTCAGAGACCCAGTCTGAGATGAGGCCCAAAAGCGAACGGCGTCAGGTGAGACGGGGTCTTCGCACGCGCATGGCGGGACCTGGCGAGGACGACAAGAGGATCTTCCTCGTGAGATCGTCTCCATCTCCATGATTGTTGTCGAAACAAAGGACAATCCAGCCGGCTGCTTTCGACTGTGACAAAGCCCTGAAGGCCTCGGAATGTCACTCTTTGTCCCCTCGATGCGTGTGTTCCGCCCAATCATACTGTTGAAGGGAAGAATGAACATATCGCATATCATGTAAAGCGCTCTACATGCCCAACATTAGGCTATCAACCTCGACTCGTGGCACCTTCACCCCTTTCCCGCCTAGACGCCCGGCTGCTGTCATCCTGCTCCAATTCTGTCACCATCACTCAGTTCGCCATGAATCCCCTCTTCGACGTGCCCTCTCTCGGGACCTCTCGCCAGTACAATGTCATGACCGACGAGGAGCGCAAAGCTCTGTTGACTATGAGCGCTATGGACAAGACTGGGTGGGCACCTGAATCGTTCAGAGATGGTCCTTGGGGTATCGCCGACGATCCGCAGCACCCGTGGCGACACAAAGACGTGCCAGGCTTCTTAGGCAAGCTTGGCTACGGCACCGTGCATAGAATGCCTGAAATCATCGACGAGAGGAGGGCTAGAGCATTGGGGAAGCTTTGGAGGGACGAGGTTTGGAGCGCCTTTCTTCCTCTGAACGAAAACATCAGACGAGATGGGGATCTCATCATCTATATCCTGGCCAACGAACAAGTCCTTCCCGACCACGAAATCTCCACGTTGCTGTCCAATGCCTGGGATAAGACCAAGAGAATGCCTCTCTACGCACCACTGTTTGGTCAGACTTCGGTCACCGAAGACGCTCCCGAAGGTTACCGCGATTACCTGAGTCACTGGCGAGGCACCGTCCGACATGATTGCAAGGCAGAAGCTGATCCCAGCAGCAACAGCCAGAAAGCAGACAAGGCTAGCTGGACACGGCCGCTGCTTGATGTCAAGATCAAGGAGCCACAGATATTCAACGACTTTGTCGCTCGCAATATGATCGCACTCACCATCCCGTGGCTTCACACAAAGCATCTCCTCAATCGGCACACGCTCTGGAGGGTCATCATGGATCGAAGTACTGCGCAGCCATACGACTTGAGTCGAATAGACTGGACTGCATCCCACCTTGCTCGCTCAACACATCTCGCCGTGCCACCGTATCGAGATGGATGGTTCATGGGGTTCCCGAACTTAGAGATTGGTAACAAGTATTGGACCAGCCTCGAACAGATCAGCACCCAAACCATCCCCACTGATGCTCGGGTGCACTGGCATGGTCTCAATATTATTGACCCAGGCCCTAAAGAGCTTCGAGATCCTCGCTTCGTGGCCCTGCGTGATAGCGGCCTCGTGTATCCTTGGGGCGAGGGTCTCCTTCTTCTCCAGTGTCAAGGAGCTATTTCTCGCTTCATGGAAAATCTAGTCCCGTCTCTTCTTGAAAGACTGGCGTTATCTAACGAATGGCCAAAGAAGATGCTGAAGCCGCTGATGAGCATAGATCCCTATGCGAATGAGGCCGAGGAAGCATCGCTCATTGAACCTGGACTCTTCGGCCCCGACACTCAAAAGCGCATGATGAGCTTGATTTTACTGGAGAATATCCATCTGAGACGTTTCGCTACCAAAAGGCTAGGTTGGCTTACCTGGGATGACCCTGATTATCGACCTGTGGGGGCTTCGCCTACTTCACGAGCTGCCGCGTTCAGAGACTATTCCCTATCTCTCTACCGCGCCTTAGCCGAGCTCAGGCATAATCCGATCGTATTCAGGAAATTCTTTGCCGCTGTGATGGAGGCACATCCCGGCGGCGTACCAGAGAATGTAGCTGCCGCAGCCTCATGGGAAGCGAAGAGGGACAGAAAGCTGAGGGAAAAGGCAAGGAAGAAGCGCGGTGGTGCCGGTGCTGGTAATGCCGGCACTGCTGCTGTCGCCAGAGTGTCTCCTGAAGCTCCTGCTGGTGGCGAGCTTGCAAAGGTTGACGCTACGGAAGATGGCGATCGGGTAGTACGCGTACTGGGCCACATCACAAGCACTGATATTGACGCCAAGAAGAGTCTCGTCAACGACGTGCTGAGGCGAGGCATCAGGGCCATGATCTACCGACTCGAAATATCTCATGCGATTCATTTACTGTTCCAGGACTTTGCGAGTGCCACAGCAAAAGATTGTCTCGAGTTAGACAAGGAGGTCAACTTCCTGGCCGATCCGCTTCCAGGCCCTAAATCGCGTGTGTCGTGGGATTCTCTACTGGCACACCTACGACGATTTGCGGAGATTCTCAAAACGCTGCTTGTGGACGATGGTTTGCTTCACTCGTCACCTTGGATTAGGCAGAACTTTCAACGCGAGACTTGCAATGGAGAGTGGGAGTCGAGAGCTGCCGTGGGGATGTCACACATGACCCCGTGGGCACTTCCTACTACTTTTCTTCCTTTTGAACATCGTTTCGCACGCAACATCGGTGCACTCCAGCGGGACGAGCAGGCCCTGGTCGACGATTTGCAGCTACTCAACCACGGAGACGGAGAGGCTGCTGGATTCATCGGCATGTGGCGTGTCATTCATGAGATGGCCAACAACGTGGGAGACATGTCGGAGCGTGGCTACTTTGAGAGCCAAAATACTAGGGGTCTTGCGAATACTCTGCACCATGTTTTGAGATGGAGCCGCATCATGGAAACGATCCATCCACTTCGCCTCAGTCCTCAGCAGTACGATGCGCTGCTCAACGACTCAAGGCATCTTGACTTCTTCAGAAGCTTGGACAACTTCGATTTGGAAAGTCATGTTGGGGCAGATACCATGCGAGACGTCCAATGGCTTCTGGGGATAAAGTACGCTGACGACGATAAACCTCCGGTGATGATCGCCGAGGCTCGCAAAACCTTGCAGTCGTTTTGGGACGAGATTGACAAGTGGCTTCGCCGCACCCGTATCGCCCCCGCTTACGTTGACGGCATAGAAAGGATGCGGTTTCCGGAGAAGTTCCAGACACCCGAGCAGATGGAACAGGCCATCATCGATGGAAAGTCTGACACGGCCACAACGGAGCGGCAAAAGTGGCAGCCTTTCAGGGTAACGCAGATTTGCGGTAAAATCTCCACGCTCAAGCCAAGAGAGGTAGACGAACCTGCGCCAGCAGAGCCTGAGCCTCTGCCAGCCGCTGTCATTGCGGCCAAGGAGACGATTGAGTCGGCCAACAAGCGATGGATCATGGAACGGTACGGTGGCGCCGGACGGCATACACCAGGACGTTTCCGACCGTCCACGAGCCAAAGCCACCAAGAGCATGAGATTTACAGGGCCAGAGTGCGCACGAGGCTCACCCAAACCGACTGGCTGACGGTAGAGCGCACCTTTGGCCACGACACTGGCGGCATCACGTGGCACGACTGGTGCAAGCTTGTCACGCACATGGGCTTTCAGATGCAGCCGATGGGCGGCTCTATTTTCAAGTTTACCTACACCAGCGCCAGCATGCTTTCAAATGGCCAAGGCCAAGCAGGATGGAGGGACCATACGACCCTTCACATGCAGCATGGGTCGGGCAATACCACGCTGAGGCCCCAGGTGGCGCGCAGCTATGCCACTCGCTTCTATGCGTCGTTCGGTGTAACGAGGGACACTATTGCTGAAGCATACGGCACCCACGCCGATCCCGACCCCGAGCCAGACGCCGAGGAGGATGTCGACGAGTCGGATGGCGAGCGCAAGCGGAACAGGAAGCGGAAGAGACAGAAGGAAAGGTTTGACAGGTGGCTGAAGGCGCAGCCTCCAGTCGTTCATGATGGTAATGGGCCACCAGCCAGGCAATTGGAGATCCCCATGGCCATGCTCGATGCAGACATCGAGGATGGGCCGGACGACGAAGATGGGGGCGAGGAGGAGGCTACCGGACTAGCCGCTCCCGATATCAACGCCAGGATGGCCAGGATGCACGCCGCGCGCGAGGGCGGCTATCTGTCACGTACGAAACGGGGGCGTGAGGGGGAGGAGGAATACGATGAGATGATCGACGAAGAGCTTGCAGAATCTGACGAGGTGGATGGGTCACCTCAAGAGAACGTTGAAGGGGAGTACGAGGATGAGGAGACAGATGAGGAGGAACGCTCACGAAAGAGAGTGCGATTCAGCTCGGCGACGGGCTGACACATTCGCAGCATACGCTGTCTTCCGCAACATGAGTAAAGCGATGACGATTCGGACAGTTTTTTTCAAGTTTTTTTTTTTTTTTTACAACGTATCACAATATGTGCGCTGGGTCCCTGTCTGCATGAGGTCATAAAGTCTTTGTATTCCAATTGATCGAAAGCCCCCTTGCCCCTGGAATCTCTTAGTAAACGCCAGTATCAAAAAAGTATTGCCCTCTCCCGTGATCAATTTTCGACTAGACGCCGCTCAGACTGCGAAGAAGACCGTATTTCTCACCCCATTGTCGTCACGGCTGTACACGCTCGACGTCGCACGCGGCCGGTTCGGCGGCGGTGGCAGATCCCCCATCTGCGACAGCGGGGAGACGGGTCGCAGCCACAGCATTGGCTGCTTCAGCCGTGGCCGGCTGGCCATGGGCTGTTGGCGGCTTGGAGCTCGACTGAAGACTGTGCAGAAGAGCAGGGAGGCGGCTGATAGGATGATGATGGCGAGGGCGCCAAAGGCGAGGGCGATGATATTGACGCTGTGGACATCCATTGCGTGGCTTTCTTATTGTCTCGTTCCAAGGCACGGTAGGCAAGGAGAGGAGGGGGGCTGGGATCGGCGAAGGCGGGAATGGGGGCGAGGGGGCGAGGGAGGGTGCTGTCCTCGGTTTCTTGGGCTCTCGCTCGTGCCGTGTCTGTCCCCGTTTCCTGTGAACAGATCGAATCCCCGTGCTCACACCCTGGGGCTGCATCGTCTTATACAAGTGTCCCAACGCCGCAGATCAAGGGGTGTCGATGAGGTCAGCCTTTCCCGGTCAGGGGCGAGCCTCGACGAGGTGTGCTGTCGCATCGCGAAACAGACAGCGTCGACGACAGCCAGCGGTCATCCGTCAGCAGCGTTTCTTCTCCTCCTTGCTGTAACAGCTAGAGCTGTTGACGTTCAGCGCCACCCTTTTTTCTTTGTCCGAGAAGGGGGGCAGCGCGCGTTCTACTGGTTGTGCCGTCCGCGGCGTTCACGGCTCAGGTGTAAGCGGGATGCCGTCCATTGCCAGCCCCTGGCTGAATATGGGCATCGGGAATGAGTTTTAAGTACGCCTGTACGGGTTATCATCTGCTTGTGGAGAGGGGGTTGGGCGTGGTTGGTTTTCGTCGGACGGACCCCTTTTGACGTATTGACCAGTTCATCGGCCATTGCCTGCGATTGTCCAGGCCGTCAAGCCAACGTAGCTCTCGTTCCTGAGACATGAGGTGGAACTTAACCAACCATCATGGTCGTGGTAGGTCCACCACGGATGCCAGCAACCTTTTCAGACACCCAGGCAAGCGGGTTGCAAAACAAAATGAGACGTGCTAAGTCCTTCACCGCAGCCCATCTACCCAAAAGGCCTGCACAACACTACTGCGAGACAGCTACCAGATCTATAATCATTGTGGCTATTGAATACATAGATCAGTGTATTATACTCTATTTCAAAGGACGGCTTTTTCCGTAGAATGAAGTTCTGGGGTCGTTGTAGAAATACAAGGCCGGATAACTGGGAAGAAGGAATGGTTATGGGGGAGGGACTCGGTACGTCGCATTGTTTTTGCAACCCTCTTGCCAGGATGCTTCGAATCGGATGCAAGGCATACATCTGATGGGGTGGAGCAACAGCGGGAAAGCGTAGACCGGCGGCAAAGTAGCAGCGATAGCAAGCGGGAACATTGGTAATGATCGTATTATGATTAGAGGCTCTCTACCTCGTGTTCCGACATGGACAGACCGGCCTGAGCCTCAGATCCGGTTGAGAGGAGTATTGGGGAGATAAAAGAAGGGTATAATGCTATGTGCAAATCAAAACGCAAGCCCAAACCAGTACGCAGACCCAGGAACAATTCATCCACTTCCCGCTTCCCGCTTTCCGCCCGCCGTTTCGTCCTTCCGTGTCTCCAGAACCCTTCACTCATGAAACGTCCTCATCCCCGTAGAGCCCGTCAATCGTCTATCCGAATCCATCAAACCGCCACGCGCCATTCTGTGTAAGAACAAGCTGTAAATATGCCCAAAGTAGCCTCCAAGAGAAATGAGAGAAAGAGAAAAAGAATTGCAAGGATAGAGCATGACATTCAAGAAGGAAAAAGCGGCATGACGCCACGCAAATAGAGACTCTAGACAGCGCAAAGACATGTTGACATGGTCACGAAGTCCAATGATAGTCCGTCCCGTGTGCTGCGCCTTGTGATGAATTGTCGTGGTAAAACCACGCCACGGGGGTCGCAATGCTGATAGAGAGGTGGGATGTGCATGAGTCAGTGTGCTGCGCGCAGAGGGGAACGCGGCCGACGTGTGAGTCTTTCGAGGTTTCCATGTCTTGACATGATGGCGTGGGGGAAAAAAGGAGTCTTTGCACCGCCCGAGGGTCGACGCGTCGCGCAACGAAAACCTGATCATGGAAGACGTTGATCCCGTGGCGATACTAGGCCTGGGCTGTAGTGCAAGGGGGGCAGCCATCCGCGCCATGCGATGGTCCTAGGGCATGCAGTGGACGGGTGATTGACGCAGATGATGGGCACTGCCGGACTGGTGCTGCAGTAGGAGAGAGAGGGAAGGAGGGGGTCCGTCCAACCAGAAGACCCCCTCCTTTGGGCAGATCACCAGATCATCCCACCTGCAGCGGCAACCCCAACCCAGGGAGCCCATGATTGAAAGACCGGCCTATCAAATGGCCATCGGAGCAAAACTGCTGCGCCCGGAACGAGTCGGATCTGAACAGATCGGCGGATTGTGCATACGCATGCCTCAAGCTCAAGGTTGTCGTTTCGAATGGCGGCAGTTGATGGCGAAGGGGTGTATGGCGTGCCTGGGACCGTCCATGCTTGAAGGCCATGGTCGAGCCAAGGGCTTCCTGACAATGTAAACAACTTGTGGAGCATTCGATATGCAGTACCAGGTACGATCCGAGAGGCAAGGGTGGCCATGGCGACAAGACGGGAGCGAAACGGGCGGCGGCGATGGTGGTGATGATGATGATGATGGAGGACGGTTAGCGAGGGCTGGTGACTGCTGTATCGGGACGTGGTGGAGGTCGATGACGCATTCCCATTGGTTTGCGCCTCAACCAGCTGACTCGCCCACTCACACCGCTGCCATCTCGAACCCCTCCCCGGGCTCCCTCCTTATTCTGTCGCAACGTCGAACCTTGAAAAGCCAGGCCCTACTCTTGCGACCTTTTCGTGCCGTCGTATGGGTGTGTGCTCAGGCTCACGCGAGCATCAGCGTTCGTTCTCTCTGACTCACTTGCCGTCACAGGCTGCGTGAGATGTCGCACCTCCCCAGTAAGCTCAACATGGGACAACGGCGCGGCGCGACGGAAGCTTACTAGGCCCGCTGCGCCCCGTCGTTGTACCCGTTGGAACTGTAGACCTGCGGGTGGCTGGGACCGTGGTGTGCACTGATCGGTTGGTACTGCTCAGCATACGTCGCCGGCGGGTGCATCGAGGGCATCGCCGACGGGTCCCAGCGACCGGGTGCTGTTGGTGCTGTGGGCTGGTGCACGATGGAGGAGTGCATGCTCGGTCCGGGATAGGCATGCGGTGCCATGGGTCTCGAATCGTACGCGGAGACGCCTGGGAGTGGACCCGACAGCCGTCCGGAAGATTGACGAGGCGACTCTGTCGTGAGCGCTGGTGACAAAGCACGAGAGTGCGCTGGGGCACCCGTGTAGGTCGGCCAGTTGTGGTTGCCGCCCGAGAGAGATCGAGGTGAGGTCAAGGTATCATGATGATGCATGTGGGCCTGTACCCCGTAGACGTTGACTCCATCTGAAGCCACCGTCGGCGCGGGCGGAGTCGGCAGCGCCGGGTACGAGCTGACGGGTGCCGGCGTCAGCATCTGCCCTGTGGGCAGCGTCGACGAGGGGCTCGCGCTGTACTTTCCAATGATCTTCTTGAGCGCCGACTCCAAGATCTTCCAGGGAAACACCTTGACGTCCTTTTCAATGTTTCGCGGCTTCGGGTTGGGGAAAGCCATGATTATCTTGAAGAACTCCTCCGAGTCGCTCTTCGCCTTGCTGACGGTCTGTGGGCGGAATCCCTCAAGATTACGTCTGATGCGGTTCTTCTCCTCCACTGAAAACCGGTTGGGTGCAACGACGAGCTGCTCCAGCAAGTAGATTGTATCGACCGACGTCACAAAACATTCGTTCTTCTCAGCCCACCAGATGCAGCTGATACACACAGAGTTGGGCGGGCGTTCGTTCACGTTGACGGCGCGAAAAGTTGTTGTGAGCGTCGAACCCGTCTGCTTCTTGTTGAACATGACGATGCGGCGACGGTTAGACCATTCGTCCGGGGTCCAGTTCTCGGCCATGTTGTCGAGCTTGCCCATGATGTTTAGAACCGCCTTGTTGGAATAAGAGCTGGATCCCCAGTTGGGGTACGCCGGACCTTGGCTACTGCCCGGAGAGGTCTGCAGCGAAGTCGTACGAACCAACGTCGGCGTCGTGGGCGTGGGCATCGGCAGCGGTGTCAGGCTGGGACGCGAAATATGCGTGTGTGTCATGGGGGGACCCGCAGTCCGTCCATACGTCTGCTGCCAGCCAGCCATGGGCGGCCGCAGAGGCGGCGGCGCGGCACGAGGAAAGTGCTGCTCCGTGAAAGAAGCGCTGCGATATGTGCTGAGCATGTTGTTGTCCTGAGGAAATGTGGGTTCATACGGCGACTGAGATGGCTGTGGTGGTGCAGTTGCGAAGTTGTAGGCATTTGTAGTCGAATCGTAGCCGAGCTGAGTTGTTGCTGACCTGGGAGACCTCTGGTGCTGTTCAGGTGACTTGGAAAGCTTCCTCGTGATCTCGTCGGGGTTGGCACCCGCGCCTGCGAGCGACGCATCGTGATAGGCAAACGTGCTGGCCGCTGTGCGCGAGACTTCTTCTCCGTTCGCTGCTTCGATCAGAAGTGTCAAGGGCACACTGGGTCCTTGGCAGCCTGTGACCATAATGTCTGGTGCCTCTGCTGTAAAGGTCAGCGTGCAGCCGCTGCCGTCACGGTTCTCCTTGACATTCTCTGCAAGGACTTTGTGCGTGCCGAAGACGAGATAGAGGTAAGGCATGGGCGATGTCATTGCGAGCAAGTCATCCTGTGAGGACACCTTTGCCATGACCTTGGCACCGGCCATACCCGTGCTGGGTTGGCATGACACGACGGTAGGTCCGACGGACATGTATTGCCCAACGGCGCTGTTGGCAGCGAACGCTCCCTGGTTGAGCTGGCTGGCGCTCAGCTGCGCGCTGCCGTCGTGGTGCTGACCATGGTAGGTAGGCGCTCCGTAAGCCTGGTACGCGCTGTCTTGATACTCCCGACCAGAGTCATACCCTGCCATCATGTCAGTTGCGCTTGATTCCCGCGGTAGACTGCCCAACAACGCACCATGGAGCGGGGTCGGCTGAGGCTTCCCGTATTGGGACATGGGAAGGAGACCCTCTTGCGGAGAACCACCGCGAAGGTCTCCGTTCGCTCTGGCGACTGCTTCTTCGTACTTGAGCGTCACCGTCTCAGGCGAGTCGAGCCCCTCTTCACCAACAATGATTGGCCGTTGGGGGTGGTAGTCGGGCTGCACGTGGGTTAGCCTGCCTCCAGACGTGAAGTCGAGAAGCCGGATGTCCGTCATGACTTACCTCGAAAGGCTTGTAGGGAGCGCACTCAAATTTCGCTGCTGCCGACATTCAAGCTGTCAAGATGGAGAAGATGGGAAAGCTTGGAGTAGGATCGGGGGAAGTGCAGTCCACTTGTTTCGGGAGTGGTCCGCGACTAAGGCCTTGTGGAGTTATTTTGTGGGAGAGACAACGGGGAAGAGAGACTAGCAAGACGTCCGAGGACAATGCTGTGGATGTTGTAGAGGGTCGAAACAGCGGCAGTAAAAAGGGTCAACGCCGGTGGATATCAATGGAATGCTGCGCGAGACAGCACGTCGAGAATTCCTGGTGGCTAGTTCATGAGTGGCGTTGAGATAGTTTCGGTCCCAGCGGCGAGGGAGGAATGCTGAGGTATTCGAGAGACACGCGCTGAACCAAATCGGGGTGACAGACGAGGGAAGTCAGGATCCGAAGGTGGTTGGGACCTTGGAGTAGAAGGCTCTTAAACCCTGATGAGGTTTCTTTGACGAGAGATACTCTGCGGCTGGGGCCTCAGCGAGTGTTGGTTGTCATTGGATGCCGTGTGATGAAGCAAACCCAAGGAAGCCCGTTGGCTGAGGAGGGTGTAAGGAGATCTGAGAATGTCTCCAGCGTGGTCCTCGCGCGTTAGAATGGGCTGTAAGCCCGACGTGTTGATCTAATGGAATGCGTCAGCCGGATGTTCCAGGCCCCCAGCCAACCTTGCAGTGCAGCGGATATTCCAACACAGGAAGACTCTGCCCTGCGCACAGAGGGTTCATGGCCACGTAGCTGCAGCGCGGATAGTGGAAGGGGATCACGCACTCACCCGTTGAAGGGAGCCGAAGTTCCTCGCTGACGAGATCCAATCAAAGGTCAGGGGACAAACGCTCTCGATGGGGTGTTCGCAGCTCAGCGACGGTGGAGCTGCAGAATCGTTCGTGTGCCGGTATCCTGTGAACCTGTTCGCACAATGTAGGTCTGGGTTCGTTAGAAACAGTTCTCTGACGACATGCCAGGTCCCGCGGGTGATGCGTGGGAGGATGGAATGGAAGCCGGATGCCCAACAGGATAAAGAGGGAGAGCAGAGAAAGAAGGGAAGCAGACAGGGCTTAGGAAAGTCAGACTTGTCGCTGATTTTGTTTAGGTTCTGCCACTGGGTAGAAGACAGCAGGAATGCGGATGAAGTAGACGGACAGATGTTGCATGTCTCCCAAGGGTCGGCCCTTTCTTGTGGAGGCAAGCTCGCTGTTAAAGTGTGGCGATCCAGATCCACTCGGGATGTTCCAGCGGTTGGACTTGGGAGCTTGCTTTTTTCTCTCTCTCTGCCGCTCATACATGTGCCAGAGGCACCAATAACCCGTACCGCGTACCAGAAGTGCCCCTCCCTTGCAGCAGGCAGTCCCTCGCACCCGTTGCTTTTGGGTCTACGGGGCTCTGCTAGCAGATGGCCCTGCTGCAGGTGACGCTACGGACAGTGGGAGCTCAGAAGGCCTGGGGGCCATATGACAAGTGTGGGGAGGCAGCGGAAGGGGTGGTTTACCAGCAGGGATACAACTGGAGTTGGGATGCAAGATTCCAGCGTCCCTTGAGCTTGCAAGGATGGCTGATCACCGCACGAAAGGGTGGGGATATTGTGGAAGATGGCGAAAGGGGGGGACAAGAACGGCAGGGGGGACAGATGATGTGCGGACGGGTGTGCAGATTGAAAGTTGCGGTAAGTTGTGGTACGCTACTGACGGTGCGTGCTCTTGACCAAGGCTGTTTCGTCTAAGACATGCTCATGTGTCCGATAGGCACATCATGTTCGTTGCTTCGCAGGTGTCCTGAACAGCCAAGCACAGAGACAAAACGAACGGAACGATGTCCTTCTTTCCGTGCTTCGTGTGATAGGAGAGGGGGGGCAACGAAGGGCTCACGCAGGGAGAGCCCGAAGGGGAGACCGGGGGGGCAGGGAGAAAGAAGAAACGAAGGGGTGGCAGTCCCACGGATGATAAACGAACACGGAAAAAGTGTGTAGGGAGCTCACGTAACGAGAGAAAGGGTACGGCAGTGCACCGCTTCAAGATGGAAAAAAAAGCAACGACGAATGATGATGGTACAGACGTACGGAGATCGGAGGTGGGATGGACGCCTTGGTGAAGACGCCCAAGAGCCAAAAAAATGTTGTGTAAGTCGGCAGAACCCTTGTCGGGCCTGTGCTCGCAGGTAGCCTGGTCGCCTGTCGCCTGTTGCCCTGTGCTGCTGGGCTGCAGCAGATGGAGGGGCGTGTCTGATCGACCTGTAGGGGACTCGGGGGTGGCTGTAAGGCGGCCTCCCGTGTGTCTTCGTGTTTACTGCGAACCATGTGTTAGCGTGATTGGCCATAGCTTCCAGCGCCAGCCGCGACAGCCCAATCGAGCGCACACCAACGGCCAAGGATGGTATGGCTTAGGAAGCCCTGTGTAGTCCGTCCGCCGTCCCTTCTGCCTGACTCTCTGCTCTGTCCGTCTCCTCGCTTTTCTTTGCGTGTCGTGGCGGGGTTGATTGGTGAGCGGGAAGGGCTTAACGGAAACGAGGGAACGCCCGTATCCTTTGCGATGGGCAACACAAGCGTCGTCGAGTTCCACCGAATCTCGCCGTCCATCTGTGGGTGATGTGAGTGCCAGCCGCCGGCTGAACCCTTGTGGCTCTCCCGCACTGGTCTTGGTTGCTGGATATCGGCGGAGTAGGTGGCGAGACACTGATCAAAGGAGGGCCGACGAGAAGCATGCGAATGCCAGACATGAGGAGATGAGACTGTTCTCACCTTAGTTTCTCTTTGCTCTCCAACGGTGCGTGCGTGGTTCGTGCTGCGTTGTCGGCTTTTGCGTTTCTGCTATACCCTGCTTCCGGGCGACTGGTACAAAGTCGGCGGCTTACAAGAGATGCCCGGAGGACACGACCCAGAAGGAAGTAACAAAATGAAAGATCAAGATATTTGTTTCGTTGCCTGCGGGACCAGCAGACAGTCGTGAATATGAGATGAATCGCCCTACCCACCGCCGTATCCGGAGCATATGCTAAATCGTTCAGGCTCCTGGGCAAAACCCAAAATCTACTCGATGGCGTCGTTTCGGCTCCTTGAAGCTCCGGGACGCAGCTGCCAAATGACGATCTCTTGCTTGGGGCTACCGGGGTAGCGCGAATTGCCCCGAGCTGGGCTCAGATGGGCGAGGCGGCTTTTGGGCGATCTCTCGTCTCTTCGGCGCGGCTGGCTCGCTCGCTGGCGTTCTGAATGACAGGGGGGCCCCTGAAAGCTGACACTGGATCTCCAGGGACTTGGTGGTTTTGCTTTGGCGGTCCTGCCCACATAATTGGTCAGTCAGTCATGAGTGATCATAGCGCAGGTTACGGTGAGTGAGGTACGGAGCACCTCCCAGGGCGATCAGTGGATTCGTTTCTCCAAGGGTGTCGAACAGCAAGCACCACGGCAGTCCGCCTGCAACATCTGCGGTGAGCGCACCGGCAGAGGGGATGTGTCTTGCATTTAGCCTCCCAGATCGAGACGCAGACATCTCGCTAGGGTTGAGAGCGAGTGTCCCCCATCCCATCTCGGCCTCATCGTCGACGCCAGATGAGACGACTGATCACCCACTCCCAGCAGAGCGGCCGACGCGCCATGATCCGCAGAACTGGCTGAGCCAGGGCCAGACGACACAGTTTGTGCAAGGTATTCTCAGGCTTGGCTGTCGTCGGCACCCCTGGCTCGAGGACCTGGGCACGGGATATACGTGACAATCCCAGCCAGGCCTGGAAGGCCTGCTATCCCAAGGATCGTCACCCTCTGCCTTGACTCCCTCCGGTTGCATGAGCCATATGAAGAGCGAATCTACCAAGCCCTTGTGGCCTCAAGCTGGGTTACGGATTGCGTCGGAAGGTGATTGATGATGCCAAATACGCCGCCAGTGAACAAGCAAGCGCTGTGGGGGGGGGGGGGTCCGACCGACTGACTTGGGAGCGAATGCGGCAGGTGGGGGGAACGGTCTGTTCATAACTTACAGATCGAGGATAGACGTCGTGGTTTGCGACTTGAACTCGTGGTATTCGTTCTCCTGGGTTGGACAATACAACGGTTAAGTTCCACTCCCTCAGGTGCTGCTCCTGCCAGGCACAGACGTCTCTGTCTCTCCCTAGACGACGTTATCGAAAACTAGTACCCAACTGGCGTTGAGCTACGGGAGAATCGACAATTTGACAGCAGATCTTGGGGGAGGCTAATCGTAAGACTCGTTCGCCGGTAGTGTCTTGGATGATGGGATGATCAGCACTCAGAAGCAATGACAATTCGTGTCCTGAACAAAGCGTGACTTACGGCACCCACGTTCGTAATTATATGATTGATTTCTTGACCTTCGCAGAATTTAGGATAGGATGGCGTCCGTAAGAGGACCGGGTAGATATACCTCAACTCAGTCGTGTACGATGCTGCATCTCCAGCATGGCCTCACTCTCTCTCGAAGCACACTTGCCTACAAGCGATTCCCATTCATCTGTCACTGAGCTTGATTACTGGTGTAGCCTCATCGCAGAGAGTCTGACGACTTATCAGCAAGCATCTCCGATCGTCCATGGACAAAGCTCAGGATAGAGTAGGGTACGGGCGCAGGAACCGGAGTGAGAGCCCTGGGTGGCCGATATTGCCCTCGGTAGGCGGAACCTAAGCGTGAGCAGGGATCTCCCTGCTGACAGGATGACGGGGAGGTCTGCGAAAGGGACCAGGGTCTGTCTTGGAGGGGGCTCGTTTGGTGTTGCATCACGCCTGTCAGGACTCGGTATTCGAGGTGGTATGGGGACGTCCTTGGGATGGAGATTGTGAGAGTGTGGGTTGTGCGGTGCGAACGTACCATGTAGCACTGCTAATGAGCATCGGATTCCTACACCCACGCCCTGCAAATGGCCAGGCGATACCAAGATCTTCGCCATCCATCCTGTCTGATCCGCACATGGAAAAACCAGGGGCTGCCATCTCAGCAACGTAGGACGAGGGAGTCAGTTGCCGTTGGGAAAGGGGGCGGGGGTATTCACATTGGAGGCTGGCGACTCCTTACAAGCGACCGACAGCGAAGCGGCATGTAGGGGCCGGGATGTGCCTTGTCCTTCAGAAGCAACAGTCTCATGATTTGACGCGACTGTAAGCATGGTCAAGGTTGTGCCGGACGGTTGCATGTCTGAGAGACAAGCCGTGATCCCAACAATCCAGCTTGATGAGAGACGGCGTATTTTGCGGCTGTTTAGTCGATCAGAGAGGACTGGCAAGCAAAAGCATCTTTGGCCCTCGACGCAAGGCCTCAAAGGTCGTCCCCCCACATCCAAATGGGGCTGGATCGACAGCTAGTCGCCGATTACAGGGGCGGTCCCCTGTCAAATCATTACCGGTTTGGCCTACGCTGGACAAGCATGGAGGTGCCCGCGTAGCTTGGCGTAGGGCAAACCACCAAAGGTGAGAGACGCCTGACAGGGTGTTGCCAAATTCGGGTGGCCAGGTATTCAAGGCCTAGCCAGCATCTCGAGTCAGGGTGGTCGATCTGCTCCCATTCGGAACCGGGAGAGCGGCCGAGACGGAGATGGGTGGTTGATGATTGAGATGAAGTGCGGAATCCGTACCCATGCACATTCATGCCCGTGCCCCATCCCCCAGATCGACACAACCACTTTTCATTTCGGCAGGCCTGTCATGCCAGCGAGATGGGTTGGGACGAGATAAGGGGCTAAGAGGATGAGGAATAATTGTTTTGTTGCTAGGCGCTGCCTTGAGGGAGGGGGACGCAAGCCAAGACGCAATGGCGCTATTGGTACCCGTGCGCGGTCAAAACGAAACGAAACGGAACGAAAGGAGCGTAGAAGAGATCACGGGACAGTCGATGTGGGTCATCTTCGGTGATGAGGTTCGCGGCGATCGTGGGCGTAGGCGCATGCCTGCGAAGACGCATCAGTCTGATCGGTACTCGGCTGTTCGCGATACTAGCTGACTGATGACGTCCGGCTAAGCGCGAGGTGACAAATACCGACATGTAGATGCGTTCGTGAGTGAGATGAGGGACGTGTGTGGCAAGATGATGGTGGGAGCAAATGGAGGCCAAGGGCGAGTGAGCTGGCGAAGAGTTGGTGATGTCGTTGCGCCCCGCACTGCTGCTTGCGTTGGTGATGTTGAGAGAAACCCTCACCAAGTGCCCATGGAGCATCGCCTGCCTACCCAAGGTACCTACCTGCCTTACCTTTCAACCTACCTAGGCTGGGCAACAGCGCCCTCGAGGCATTGGCACCCACTCTTGCTGTCGGCGCCATTGGCGGAAGTGACGTCCGCCGGCGCAAGTGCCTAATGATGGGTGACTCCTCCCCTGGTTCAACTGCCCCTCCCGCACAGGTTGCCTTTGCCCCCTGCCGGCTCTTGCGGGGTGCTGCCGCGCTGCCATCACAGGCGCTAAAACGCCCTAAGACGCACTAAAACAAGCCCTCGAGCCGCAGATTCAGCAGTCTTGGTGGATCGTCGACTCGATCGAGCCTAGCCTTGCGTCATGGATGCTCCTTCCAGCTTTCAGCCCTTGACGTTTTCGCTCAGGCAGCTGCGGCCAGAGCACTGGGCTCGACTGGATGATTCCTCGGGCGCGAGCGTGCGCAACTGCTCCATCCACGCTTCAGTCACCACATCAGTCAACACATCAGTCATTTCTCACTTCAATCACCAGGCGCAAAACAGCCCGGCCCAGCGCAAGTCTTCAACTACCTCATCTTGGCTCCCTCCACTGGGCATGCCAAACCCATGATGGCGCGTTCGCCTCGATGCAACCTCAAACCCACCAGACCTACCCATCATCCAACGATCTCTTTCGAGTCCCGCCGAGGTTCATCTCACACCAATCTGACAGGTCGATCACTGGATGAAGGTTGCGCGGTCTTCGTTCTTCAAACCAGGGCTTGCCATCTCTCCCAACCATCCCCTGCAGCTTCGGGCTTGACAATGCGGTGGTGACATCGGCTCCCGGCGTCCGTGGACATGGTTTGACACCTTGGCCTAAGCTCAGCCGCCGCCCATCGTTCCACATGGCTCTACTACCCACTACGACACGATCGTTCGTCGTGAACAGCTGATGTTGCAGGGCATCATCTGTCGACCTGGTCGACGGTGAGCGGCAACCTTTTAGCACTTGGCTTCAGCTGGGTCGGTCATGCAGGTCCCAGTTCGTTGTCATCCCCTGCCCTCTTTTCCCCCGTCTTCCGTCCGAACTCCGTCCGGCGTCATCACCTGCCATCACGGTCCCACCGTTTGCCGCTGCTCGCCAAGTTACAGCGTCACATCGAGCTTGGGGTGGGCGTCTGGGGGGGTTACAGCATGTTCGCTCCATCGCGTTTCATGATTTGGGAAACGAAATACCTTCAATGCGCGCCGTATGAGCGTTTCCCTATCTAGCCGTAGTCGCGATGGGATCTTCAGAGCTTGGCCCCATGACGCGCCCGTACGGATGGGACCATCGTGTCACACGACTGCAAAATGAATGACGATTTTCGCATTGCAGCGACGCGACCTCGCCTCTTGCGCCTTGTTCCCTGTCTCCTTTCTACACGTTAATAAAAAAAATCTCAAACGAGCTTTTCATGGTCGGCTGGCGACAATATCTCCTCCCAGCCCATGGGAAAGGATGCAAAGGCGGTGGTCACAGGCGTCGGTCGGTGCCTCTCGGACACAACACACAGGCGGCTGCGATCATCGCCAGAGTTCGAGGGTGAGCCATGCTCATTTGGAGTACACGTTGCGTCTTGTACCACTCCCCGACTGCTCACCCTCGTACAGACTCAAGCAAAACGCTCATTCGGATTCTGAGACTTTTGATTGCCATTTCTTAAACCCCTGCCTCCCATCCCCAACAACATTCGTCTACTCTCTACTCGCCACGAGTGGTGCGCGGTGGTGTATATGCGCTGCAGTCGTTGCCCCCTGGCCTCAACTGGCTCGCCACCTGACAGTGTCGTGGAGTCAGCTTTGCACCATCGAAGAAAGGAGGTTGTCAGCCGAACAAGTCACTCAATCACATGCCGGTTTTCCAACAATCCAGCCGTTATTTGGCGAGGGGGGACAGCCAACCTACCGGGTTCTAACTCCGCTTGAAGGGTGACAAGTGAAAGCCGACTGGACTAGAACAGGTCTTACTTTGTCCAGATCATGCACGTCTGGGGTGCTGTTGTGGCAGATCTCGTGCCTCGCCCCCGTCGCGTCAGTATCCTTGGACTGAACACCATCATAATCCCCAGTAGGCCTGGTGCATGGGCTATATCGTCTTGCCATGGTAATCAAGGTTGCACGAAGGCGCGCTGCTGCGTACGTTGCCTCTCTGGGAGTCTTTATTTTTTTTTTCAATTCCTTGCCTGGCATCACGTGGACGAAAGACGGCCTTCAGCTGGAGAACGAAAGGCGTCGCGTGTTCATTCTCTCTACAGCATCTGTGACACTGGCCTCAAGCAAGCTTCCAAAAACTCTCGCTAATCTGTTCCATTTAAAGCCCATTTTTTCATGCATCACGGCTATCGACATGACCACCGCCACGCATCCGCTCCTACGGGTCTGCGAAACCCGACTCATGTCACGACTCAGGCCAAGCCGACTCATGCTGCCTTCCGACGCAATGTGTGCAGGATTCGGAAGAGGGCTCGAAAGTTATCCTGACCTCCACCCAACGAGCGATGGCTCCTTCTGTTCACACATACCTTTTATTATGAACGGACATAAGTTCGCCACAAATGCTTCGCTGGGCACAGGGATTCCCAACGCCGTCTGCCGCGAACACAGTCACACTGCTTGAGCTCTTGTGCATCGTCTCTGCGAGCTCCTCGTATCTCTACCAAGATTCTGCCCACGCCCACCAGGCAGAAGATCGAACTTTCACTGTCCAGCAGATTGCACCTGCTCCCCTACCGACCTGTGTTGCTCCACGATTCTAAACAAGCCCGTCAATTGACGAGTCGCTTCAAGACCGGCCATGCACGCTGCCGTCTGAGGTTAGCATCCTCCGAAGCTCCGAACGGCGGGGCATGCGGCTGCAGAAAAAGTCCCTGACCTGCATCTCAGCAAATGTGGAGGTTTATCGTCCTCATTGAAGATGATGCTGGATGGAAGACTCTGACGAGCAAGGTTTCGACACTGCCACGTCTCAACGATGGTCTACAGTATTTCACATTGTGCAAGCCCTGCGTAGTACAGACAGCTTCCCGACAAGCGTACATCATCTAGTTTCTCCTACGATCCTGCAGCGATGCGTGTCCAACACAGTGTTGTTCGGAAACCGTCACTGCGCCCGCCCTCTAGCTATTCCATGCCTGTCCATAGTCCAGGCACGGTGCCACAAAGTACGACACAAGGGTGACAATTGCAGAGTTACATGGTACTCCTGCCCTCCGTTCCCTGATTCTCCATACCAGACCAAGTCTTCTTTGACTGCGACTCGCCAAAGCTGAGCTTCTGCGCCCGCGGCATCGCCTAATGGAACATTGTGTATTATCGTGGCGGTTGCGGCTTTCGATCGACTACGCAAGGCTCAGCCTACGCTGACCCTTCAGAGCGCTTCTTAGGTTGCGATTAGAACTATCCTAACATCGCGACAAATTGGGCAGCCCTTCAAGGCGTCCTCGGACACAATGCACTGAACCATGCGACAGCTATTTCAGTAAGCTACCCCGTTATTCCTGAGATGCCCACAGTCGCCGGGCTGAGTGTATCACAGCGACTCAAAGTCGTTGTCGCGACTGCACTATCGCAGGCGGTCTCAATTGTCACCAGCTAGTTGCCCAAGTCAAGCGCCGTTAGCCCACTTCCACGTGGAGTCTGAGATGACGAGCTGATGTTTGGCCCTTAGCGCCCTCATCCACTGTGGCTTCAGGCTATTGTCAGAGTCCCTGTCGCGATGCTGCTCTTTTCAGTCTGCTGGTCCTGGCAGACGAAAGCCCCTTTCGATATTGCGAATTCTTGGCTTGCGTTCGGATGAGAGATCTGCCGGGCTGCGCAGTGGGCCGGCACGCTCTTTCTTCTCTTATTTCCTTTTCGCCCCCATCGCAGTTGGGTGGCCCCTCTTCCGAATGATCGTTGCTGCAGCCACAGGAGAACCCAAATGAAGGAGTCTACCCAAGAAATAAAGGGGGCACAGCGATCTCCTGCAGGCCACAACTCTGCTGTCGCAAGCGTTTCCCTCTTGTCGGTTCCGATCGCCCAGAACCAGGATCTAGAACCCGGCGGGCAGAAGGAAACAGCCAAGTCTAGCGTGACACTCGGGGTAGACTCAGCCTCTTCCGCGAACCTGCCACCCTCCCTCCAGTAGATTATAGCGCCGGGACTGTGGCCTCCCGTGCCTTTTGGCCACGATGATCACGGTGCTTGCGTTCTGTGGCAAGTTCGCAACCGCTGGGTCGAAGCGGGAGTTTGCATGATCTCAGACGCTCATACGGGCGTAACCCTGCCAGGCTATTTACAGTTGTGCTTGCGATACACCAACGATACACCAATAGATCTGGTCTCTCTACGGCCTGGGTCGTCTCCCAGCTAGTCTGGGCTCTCCTTTAGCCAGCCAAGCGCGATCAGCATTTCATCGTACTTTATCAAATGAGCTGAGTCGATAGTGCATTGCCCGGCTACACCAGGGAGATTTCGGTGGATTTGGAAGTTGCCCAGGTTTTCGGACAGCTGTGCCATTTTGGGTAAAGCATCACGGCCGCTAGGGGGAAAACCCCCCCATTAGAGTCAATCGAGGCGACGACACATCCCTAAGTTAACCTCCACTCAACCCTTGGGGCGGCGACAGAGTCTGCATGGAGAATTGGCAATGAGGAATCCCATGTGAGTAATCTGTCAAAATGGCACACCTACTTCCAAATGGCGGTTTAAGTTCTCCCCGCCCTGCGTATTGCCACCGGGTATTCTGACGCCCGCACGTGCGCCTTCTCCTCATCGACCTGGAACGGGGGGGGTGCCGAACCAACAGCGAATGTTATGGGAACGAGGAGGACGAACGACGAGTTCCCACCCTGTTCAAGCCACTGCGTTACTAGCAGCTATTCAGCAATGATCTCTGATGTCGCCGCTTTGTGGTGATGGGTGATATCCGACATGTTGCTCTCTCAAGAGACTGTTGCGCCCCCTGAAGCTTGTGAGAACAGGGAGGCCAAAAGGGCGCTTGTGGCAACGTGGAAAAGACCAGCGGCCTGCTCAATAGGCTTTCGGCGACGCCCTCAAACGACGAATACACGCACGCCCTCGTGCGTCTCATCTGTCATGTCCAAATGCAGCCCTGAACGTCCCGGCCAGATGGGAATGTCTCGCACCGAACGGCGCTGATTGGTTTCACTGGCGTTTTGATAGCCGAGCGCCGATGGGCCAACCTTTGTCGTGCTGCCCCAGCTGTTCGGCCTCGGCGGAGACGGTACAAGGTGCAGGGAAGCTATCTCGAGGCTTCTATCATCAAGAAATATCGAGAGCCGGTTAAGAGGATCCAGTGTTACTGATACAGAGCAGCGGAGATGAGGAAGGGGTGTGTGGCTTGGATGTACTACACACTTATCATTGATTTCAAGACGTCAAGCAAATACTCGTTATGAACCCGTCGGAAACATGTATTGGTACCTAACACTTGTACATAAAGAGTATCACTGGCTTTGTTTTCGACGATGGCCACAACAACCTACCTCGCGTTGTGACTTCATCGCGTGCCACGGTCCAGGGGCACGCGATGGTGTGACCCGAAGATGGCTGCAATTATACCTTCGCCCCAGCATGCTTGATGGCTGGCTGGCCCTTCTAGTATGGAGCATGGCAAAAGATGGTTTTGGCATGGGGGTGTGTCGGTTGCTATGTCGTCGCCCATTTCTTCAGTCCAGTCCCGGTCAAACGTCACGATGTAGCAGATGATTGAGGCCGAGGGGGCTTGTAGTCAGCTCATCCGCAGCGTTTTACAGACGATGTCGTTGGGTGAAAGACATTACTTGCTCAAAGTAGAAGCTGCTTAGGCATGGCATAGCTTTTCGACTTGTCGTTTCATTGGACCTTCGTCTCTTTCACCGGCGAGAGTAGGGAGTGAAGGGGGGCAATCGCCATGCCCATGGGCAGTGAGGTTTCAGGGCGCGGCCTGCCTACGCATGCAGACTCCATCACCAATCTCGTCTATTCCTGTCGAGATGGCTCCAGTACTGGTGCTCGATCATGGAATAGGCCAGATGAGGTGCAATGACATGATTTGGTGGTAGTTCACTCGCCAGCCCGGAACAACACCCACGTACTTGAGAGTGAGCCGGTTTATTTTACCAAAATGTACTGATGTGCAATGTACCGCTCCAACCGTAGGAACAGGCCTTCCTTAGGAGTCTAGAGCATTGCTACAGTGTTAGGTTTTGACTCGTGACTGCTGATACCGAACCATGGGTCTACCAAAAGTAAAGGCTCTTATCACATGTCATGTCTTCAGACCCTATTGCAGATTGAGATAAGCTGTACGCAGTGAGGCAAGATACCAAGCAAATAAAGGGCCGCCTTCTGGATCCGATAAAGGCGAGATTCTTACGGAGTTCATGTATAAAATGTTAACAGCCGCAGTCACGACGGGATACGAGAGTCGCCGACGGAGTCCATACAAGATCATATTGCAGGGGCAAAACTCATGAGGAGGCTGCCATCATACAGCATACCTTATATCACGATCAATTTGAGATTATGTATTGGCCTTTTGAGGGCTATAGATGAAAGATCACTTGAAGTCAATAGAACTGACGCAAACATGCTCGCGCAATTGTTCTCATCACCTGCCAAGTCCCTACTGGAGCGACGGGGGGCATGCAGACGATATCCAGGCCGAGCAGGCGGGACGCGTTGATGCATTGATTCTTTATTGTATGTAAGGTAGCTTGGTTGGTTAATAAAAAGTATACCGATTCACTCCCTGAATCAGTTGATATGGTTTCGTCGTGGCACAAAAAATATAATGCTCCCTCATATCTAGCCACAATAGTAGACCTCGAGGCTAATCAAGAGTTAGTACGAGTGCTTAAATATGACCGAGAAATACATTACAAGTGGTTGTTAAAATCAATGAGGTTGGAACTCTTATCTGGTTCGTCAGATCCAATGATACTCGGTGCACGTTTTGTGCTTTGCCTGGAGGCTCTTCCCCAAGATCTTACTTACCTGACAATAACAAGTTGATGAAGTGCATATGATCTACTATTAATGAAAACCTCGGCCACGATATCATGACACCATCAGAGATTCCCTGATTCGAACCTGGTAGTCATCTGGTCAAAATCAAAATGCTTTGGCCCGAGAATCACGTCAATAATAAGTTCAGCAGGAACCGATAGTCCATACCAGCCGGCTACATTCGCCTTGATTATTTTGGCTACACTGAGAAAATAAAGCCTGATTCCAGATTGATTGGTTCCCTCACGATTATTGCACCTCTGCAGCGAGCTGAATAGACAGAAAACCGAGGTTCGAGCCAGGAATGTTCTGTTGAAGTGCGAGCCTCCGACGAGTCCACGAGCCCCACCTTCAGCTTATCTGATGAACTGGGCTTATCGCGGACCCACAGGAGCTCTTGCGGCGCCACCTCCGCGTTTTGTTCAAGTCAATGCAGGCGGCTTGGCATGCATTGGCTACCTAGTATGTAGGCATCGCGCCGTGATCGTTCTGGTACCGGCGGCGCCCGCGCTTCACCACAACATCAACCGACGCCAACCTCCGTCTCTGACGACGACCTTCCGTTCGAACGCTTCTCCTCGCCCTGAGGTAGACGCCGCAAACTCCTTCACAGCAGACTCTAGGTAACATATTGGGCATCGCATCTTTTGCATACTGTTTGGATTTAGCCCGAGAGCGGGTCACGACGCGTCAAGCTAGCCACCTCCGTTTCTGATCTCCCATCAGCACAAGCTGCCGACACAACAATCAATCGCCGAATAATAGCCAACAGACAACCGGGGTCCTTCCTCTTGAACCATTGCGTTTCTCAAATCCCGCCCTGAACAACGCGTTCCCAACCACAGAGTCATTCCTGACGCGTCACTGTACCCGATTTCGCTTCGACTTCGACTGGAACCCTGAGGACTCATACATTCATGGCCACTGTCATATTCGCAATACTTTGAGAATTAGCGCCTCGAAGGAGCTGGTTCTAGACTAAAGTCAAAGCTCTTGCAGAACCTAGGCTCATTTGGTTTTGCAGCGCGTCTTGAAGGCAGGAACCAGGAGGAGGACAACAGGCTTTTGTGGGAGGCCAATGGGACGCGGGATCGCCCAGAATGCCTACTATCCAGGTGTCGCCAGATGCAGATGAGCTGCTACAGAGTGTCGCCAATGGAATTTTGAAGTCGAGAAAGATCATTGTTGTGACTGGCGCCGGCATCAGTACCAACTCTGGAATCCCCGTAAGGAGGCGCAATGGTTCAGAATATCTCGAGAGCACCGGCTAATCATTGCCCAGGACTTCCGATCCGAAAATGGCCTATACGCACTCATCCAAGCGCAGTTCGACGCTGCGAACAAGGATCCCGCTTCCCCGACTGCCCTGACACGATCAAACTCTAGCACCTCTGTCGGGTTGACGGAGTTGCAGGAGGATGGCCCTCCAACGAAGAGACGCAAGCTTGAGCAAACCGACGATACTGTGCGGCAAGCTTCGCCTGGCGCTGTTTCCTCGCGAACGCAGGATGATCAAGTTGAATGCTTGAGGAATGGAGATTATGTCAAAACCGAAAGCCTACGTGCTGAGGAGCCTATGCCCGGTCAAATGACTGAACATCATGGGTGCGCGCTGCGAGATCAAAGGGGAGATGCAGATCAGACCACGGAGGACAAGCCTAGGCACACTACTATCAGTGGTGCCGTATCTGATTTCATGTCCGAAACTCTGTGTTTTTCGACCACCAATCTGGGCATGACGGGGCCATCGCGAGCGAAGCGCCATCAACAGTCACGCCGTCGCAGCAGTTGGGGCCATTCCTCGATATTAGCCAGCTTTTTGTTGACAGCAACATCGCCGAAATCAGACCAGCACCCGCGGACGGCGCATATGTTGCCTCATCACCCAGCCCTTCAGACGAGCAGCACGAGGGCAGCATCACTCTCGCCTTCTTTGAAGCCGCACCACGATGCCAACTGTGGGCGCTCAGAAGTATGGAATGCAGCACGGAGAAGAAGGGTATCCATGTCATCCTTGACGCGCCCGCTTGATGACGAAATTCTGCAATGGGCCTGGCATCTGCAAGATCAACCCGAGTGCCCGTCCAAGGAAAATCCGAGTAACGAGCAGCCCCAAGATTCATCACCCCAATTGCCAAAACTTCCACCATCTATGCCTTCCTCCACACTCCCGGTCTCGCGCTCAACACCAAAACAAATGCACCTACCCTTCACGTCTTCACCCTTGTCATCTCCACTAGCAAGTAGTCAAAGACCCAGGTCTTTCCTTGCCAGGAGGAAGGCCAGCGAGGTCCACACGCCTTCACGCTTGGTACAAATACCAATGGCACATGATTCTTCGCCTCTTTCGTCGCCCCCGCCAGTTCTTTTTGACCCATTCAATCAGGTGTCTTCGTCAACAAGCCAGCAAAGCTTGAGCGCAGCTGGTAGCACGACTTGCTCAGAGACTGACGAGACGCCGCCATCATCCCGTCCATCCTTGGTATCTCAAACCTCGAATCCCGTGCGATCTACTCTCCCCAACATCAAAGGGCGAGATCTTTTCGATGTTTCTATTTGGTCAGATCCATTGAGGACATCGGTGTTCTATACTTTTGCCACGACCCTCCGACAAAAAGCTCGCGATGTGCAGCCCACTGCATCGCACCTCTTCATTAGCCATCTCCGTGACCGCGGTAAACTCGTCCGGTGCTACACTCAGAATATCGATCAGATTGAAGAGAAGGTTGGACTTTCCACGTCCCTTCAGCAGGGTCCAGGAAGCCGCGGTCGATTCTCGCGTAAATCTGCAGGTGGTTTCTCAGCACCGAGCTCGCAAGGTGGAGAGGGTGAGGCGAACGAATCAATCGTCAAACGAGACGCTGCCAATGGTGGAGTCGAGTGCGTATTCCTCCACGGATCTTTGCAATCTCTTCGGTGCTTTCTCTGTGGGCGCATTTGTGAGTGGGATGAGGGCGGACGATCTGTCGAGACGCTATCCGGAAGACAGCCCGAGTGCCCACACTGCGTCGGGGCCACAGTCGCCCGAGAGGAAAGGGGCAAAAGAGCTCTTGGTGTGGGTAAGCTCCGACCTGACATTGTTCTTTATGGCGAAGAGCACCCCAACGCGCACCTGATCGACCCCCTCGTCAAGCATGACCTCGCCCTTTATCCGGATTCCTTGCTGATTCTCGGCACGTCGCTCAAGGTACATGGTCTGAAGGTTCTCGTCCGCGAGTTCGCAAAATCGGTACACAGCAAGGGAGGCAAGGTCATATTTGTCAATTTCACCAAGCCGTCGGAGAGCTCTTGGGGTGACATCATTGACTATTGGATCCAGTGGGACTGCGATGCCTGGGTATCGAATCTTCAAGAAAGAGTCCCTTTGTTGTGGCTGCCACCAGGAACCAAGCTTCCGGTGCCTGGCAAGAAGAAACGCGAGAGTACTGGTGAGACCAAGGCTGCAAAGAGGCGGTCTAGTGGCGATGTTGGCAAACCAGTAGACACGGGTGATTCAATCATGCCGGACATAAAAGACACGGACGAGGACCCTCATCATGATCCTCTTGGCCACCTGGAACAAACCTCCAAGACAGCTGCGCCACGACGACCGCAGGTCATGCGAGAAGATAAGCATAATGCGGCATTCTTGACTTGGCAGATAGCAAGGAACCTTCGAAAGATCACTGGTGACGAGTCACCCTTGGTATCTTTCTCTTCATTACAAAGAGACGCGCGGCTAGCTCTCTTTAGCGGATCGACTCCCTCATCTCCGACACCACTGGTACCTGAGTGCTCTTTGAGAACGCCCCTGCCGGACATGGCAAGAACAGCGGCTTCGCACAGAACCTTGTTGCCGTCGTCAGCATCATGTTCTGCGTTGCCCTCGACTACCATCCTGTCCCGAACGCCTCTGCCCACTGAACCTCTACCAACACCGGCGACAGCGCGGCGGGCATCAGATGCTCATCAAGAAACGAAGGAGGAGCAACCACCGGAGCCTGAGTCGTCCGTGGCTACAAAGAAACGCAGAAGAGACTCACGCCGTACCCATAAGGCGCCGTCTTCGGGTGCTGAAGCGAATGTTTCTGCGAGAGCTGTGAAAAAGATAGCAGGCGCCAGAAAGCAAGGGCCCGGTTGGATCTATGTCTCGGAAGAAGATGTTCAACCTGCTGAGCCTGTGGCTCAAGCAGTAGGGCAAGGTCTGGTTGCAGATTCTGTCATTGAGTTATCGGCAACCATCGGCGCAGCCATTAAGGCCAACCCACGCAAACGGAAGCGCAAGATGATCGATGGCGAGGAAGTTGTCCTTCCTGGTTCTTTCCGACGTACTGCCCCGTCGACGCCTCGAACGATCTCGTCCAAGGGCGTCAGCAGGCCACCTCTTACGAACACATCCACCCCTCTGGCTCTACCCTTGCCATTGAATCCAGCTGCAGCATCGCCGCCTAGGTTTCAGAGCGCCATGGGTATTTCGCCCAACATCGTCTCGGACCTTCGGCGGGTCTCCATGGACACGATGGAGCTGGCGCCTATCTACACTCCTGTTGACCAACATCATCAGGGGCCAGTTCAGATGCCTTTGACACCTGCAAGACTAGTCCCCTTGGAGCCACGTTCCCCGCCGTCGGGACCTCTGAGCAGGATATCGCCTAACATGGGGCCCTTCCAGTTGAATCCTTTTAAGTACTTCGATTCTCTGGTTTTAAAACTCCGTCAGCCACCCGCATGGATGGGATGGACACCGGGCCCCGAGGAACAGCTGAAAAGCGAGACTGACGCAGCCCTTGCGTTGGGTCAAATGAGAATGGGGTCATAGAGCTTGCATATAGCTCATAGTAGGCCACTGGCCAAGCGTAAACCGTCGCCCACGTTGCGAGTAGATGAATTATGACACTGCTTTTCCCGATTCTGGTTCCAAAGGGATGCGATTTCCCATTTGTATCTCCGAAGGTCATTTGATAACTCTTTGCTCTACATCTGTACTTGCTCGGGTTTCTAGATGCGCACCCCGTGCTTTGTGTAGGGATAACATCACTTCAAATTCCATAGCAGTCAGACTGAAAGGCTCATGAGCTCAGCGGTGGATCGCTAGGTGTTGGCACCTGGAGCCGGTACTGGCTACCGTGATAGTAATGCAGAAGGAGATGAACGACGACAAAGGGCATTGAAGTGTTTAAGGCTGGGTAAGCAGCGAATCGCTTTATCGGAGCCAAATAAATTCCTCTTGTGCTGCGGGTGAATAATATCGACAAAAGAAGGGATGAGATGTTACAATGTCGCAGGGACACGACGTGGATCAATGGTGTGCAAGTAGTTTAGTGGCTTGCCCATGGCAGCCGACCTGGACATCGGGACTCTGGCGCCCTCTTCTGCTGGACGAGACCGACGAAAGGACGCCTGTCAGGGCGCTTCAGGGATTCCAGGCCCCCCGATTTGAGACGGCGGAAGGCGACCTACGGGGGCTGCGAAGCTTTGCTAGCGAGGGACGCCTCCACTTTCCTAGCACTGGTACCTGTTACATGGTAGTTCAGGTACTGTGGTTGGCCTGTCTCGAGATTCCCAACGAGTTGGTTGAGCCGTGGTCTGGCCTCTGCCATCTCCGTGATTCTGAAATTAGCACCTTGTCAAAGCGACCCAGCACTCTGTCTCTCATCTACGCACTGGGACTAGGCACAGATCTCTTCTTGTTGGTCTTGCTGTGTCTTCCGTTGAAGCGCCGATGCCGAACCCTGGATGCTGGTTATATCGCTCTTAAACCACTGGTCTGGTTCGTCTCGGTCTCGGTAAACGACATTCTATCATTCCCAAGGCGCCTCTTTGGCTATGCTCAATCGCAATCAACCTTGGGCATGACGAAAGGATCTACAACAGAGATGAACCGTGTATTAATATTGTCTTGGTGTCCAACCATTTGAGGATATCCCAAGTGTCACCCCCATACACTAGAAACGTGACCTCTGGGTCGGGCCCCGTTAGTAAACCTTTAGGGATCGCTTGCACCACTGGGCTAAAGCCACGAAAGTGAACCAGGCTGTGAGCGAGAGGACCATCTTGTTGATACTATAGCATCGTTTTGGGCTGTTCGGACTTTGATCTCAAAGAAGGATAACTCCCGGACATGAACACATGGCGTTTGAAACATACAGGCCCAGGCTGAAGCTATCAACAGTATGGGCCCAATCAGAAATGCCGTGGTTCCGGGAACGTGGGTATTCGATTTCCCCACTGGGACTCTTTGGCATTATTCTCCGATACAGGCCATGTACATTTGTTTCCTGTGGCAGCGCTAGGCCTGATAGCTGAGGTCTTCGCTTGGAGAGCTGTGACTCTCGAGCCTCCACCACAGTACGTGTACTTTTTGGCTCTTGACTCGTCGAGCAAGCTCTCGGCTGGCAGGGCAAAACCTAGGACATCTTGCCCATCCATCTGTGCGACCGCTCTTTCGCGCTACTCTTCGGAAGCTTAAGTTGTCCGGCAAGACCCGCGGCAAACTCGGCATTCGCAATTAATACACATGGCACCAGGATCCAAGGCCCTCAGAACGCATTAATGACTGTATCTGGACGCCTCAGTAAATAGTCCTGACCCTCTAGGGGACGCCTTACCTAGAAGGGCCCTGCTTGGCTTTCATCAAATCACTGGCAATTGTTTTTGCGCCCATCCCTTATCCCACATCGTTCCATTCGCTGTCTCGCCAATGACCCTTATTTGCATGACACCAGGACCCGGCTGGTGTCATCCAGAAACCCGGCCAGTCTCTTTGTGACCGTGCACCCCCGTCCTCTTCATCTTCGGGGCGTGCTTTAGACACACCTGTGCAATACGACCCATGGGATTGGAAGAAAGCTGCGGTGTACGGGGACAGCGTCTGATGCTAATGCAGGCTGGTCCCGACAGCTCTTCTTCATCCAGTAGGCCTATGCCACGGTATTAAGTTTAGCGTGGGCCCACGGGCTGCCCCTTTGCTGCTAGGGAGGCTTGAAGCCATTGCCGGGATGATCACCGTCCGAGACGGTGGGAACAGCTACATCTCTTGACAAGACCAAGTAGACTCCCTCTTACATGTATAACGTATGCCCTGTCATTATCGCCTCCCCGGCTCAACCTCCGATTTCTGCTCTCGTTCCCTAGCCCTCCTCGATCTCTTGTCAGCACTCGTCCTGCATCTGGCAGTCTCCTGACGTGGTGGGAAAAGCCACTTCACACGCTAGGCATCAACGAACGTGGGCCACCGCCACAAGTTTCCGAGCAGTCATAAGCATAAGAAGCCGTCGTAGGGCCGTCAGGAAGGACGTCGCCGGCGACACCCTGCACTTTGTTTTGACACTTTCCATTACCGAACCGCACACCCGTACACCCTTAATCCTTTTTCAAGCCCATTTTGGGGCCTTTTCCCGTCAACCGAAGGCTTAAAGCTCGAACTTTGGCGCCCTGGCTCCGAAGGTCGTTTGACGTTACATCCGAAGATCCCTCCAGCTTTGGTCAGCTGTGTACGCCAAAGAGTCGTCTTCTTGCTACTCTGTCTTCACTGGTATTTAGACAAGAATGGATGCCCACAACACGTACATATACGTTTGAATCCTTTTCGAAAAAGCCCCAAATTACTTGGCCTCTCATCATCCAAATCAAGTAACTCAGTACCCATCCGGCTCCGGACCCACGGCAAACAAGCACAGGTGCAAGCAGCCATCCCCTGGAACGACAGCAGTCAGCAGACATGGGACCAGCCACGACTTCGTCATCACCCGCTGGCGAGCCGGGGTTGCTCAGCCGCCTCATTCGTCGCGCTTCGATGCGGCGGAGCAACGGTAGCATGGCTGCCATTAATAACTTCGAGGATGCTTCTGCAGCTGCAGCAGGAAGAGGTACTCCGCCTTCGAACACAGGTCCGACGCCTGGCGGCGCCAGCGAGGTCCAGGGCGCTGCACCTAGCAGACGAGCGGATGATGTCTATGCACTGCGGCCCGTTAACATAGGGAGAAGCAAGCTTCATAAGATTAACGAGGGCCCGGCTGCGTCGCCCTTGTCCGCCCCAAAAGACGCTCCTCTTCCCGCTCCCGTCGTTGTAGGCGACGGCCTTCCCCCACGAAAGAAGTCCATGTTTCGCCCTCAGTCCCTGCTGCTGACAAAACCGACTGCTACTCCTGCGGCCACCAACATGGCACTGCCCTCAACCATGCAATCGACGAAGCTGCGATCCAAACCCAGCTTTCGAAATCGCTTCTGGGCCGCCTCATCATCCAATGACTTTGGCAACGACAATGACAACAAGGAAAATTTCGCCGTCGCAAAGTCAACGACGCCACGCACGGCCTACGTGCCCCGCCACGCGGCCTCTGACTTCTCCGAAACGACGGCAGCTAACCGTCGTCACCGCCGAGCCGTGTCGCACGACAGTGCCGTGGGGTCAACAGCACAGGCGTCGATGCCCGTTCTAGTTGAACATACGCCGATGCCGGCCCTCACCGAGAGAACAGACGACGAGAGGAATCGACAGCAACAGGATGTAAAGTGTATCGATGCGCGGAGGCGCAGTCACGGCTCGCAATGCGAAGCAATGGCGCACCGCGGTGCGAATTTCCATGCGAGGGCCGCGGCGGACACGTTCGTTTATGCAAGCCACCAAAACCAACCCGACAAGCAACATCACCAACATCAACATTCCTTCGAGAAGCGCGAGAATGAAAATCCGTTCCTCGATGCGTCGGAAAAGGCGTGGGCCGGGCCAGCCTTACAGCATTTTAATGTAATCAAGGAGGGGGAAGACACTTTCACTGACTACGACCGCTTTGTGGCGAGGGCGCACGCCGAGGAGATGGCCATGCGCGTCAATGCCGTGCGGCGCAATTGGCGTGAGAGCAAGCGGGACAGCGCTTGCTACTCTGGCAAGAGGGATAGCGCGCGCACGAGCGACGAGGAAAGTAGCAGCAGCTTGACTGACGATGCCGCCGTCGTCAAGAGTCCCGAGATCGTACATCCGGTTGCTGGGCCGGGCTTGAGGCGGCAGAGCAGCACCGTTGCACAGAGGATTTCTCAGTACATCAGGCCACCGAGAGAAGAGGCTGTGGTGAGGGTAGAGAGACCTGCGGGCCGAATGGGAACTGTGCGGGAAGATTGAAGGACGGCGTGTGCATGGGTGCGTGTTTTTCTTGTTTTTCCAGCCGGCGTTGGAGGTGCATATACCATGACCCTCGTGTTAGAGCTTGATAGCTCACTACCTTTTGATTTGTACATATTGAGAGTCAAGACTAATTTGTTCTAACTTACGTTCGTTGCTTTATTCAACCTGGCTGACATCCTCCTAGTGATGCGACGATCTCCCTATCCAGGTATCATGTTCGTGTGTTTGGTCATCAATGTGAACCCTGGGCAAGACAACGGTCTACATGACTGCCGCCCGGATGGGCCGAAGCGGGCCAGCCATGTCGCCTTCTAGATCCGGGAAGATGGGTGTCGATCGGAGACGCCTGTTACTTATGTTCAGATGTGAGTTGAACTGATCATATTTTTTCGGTCACGTTTGTCGACTGTGTCTTCGGGCAATAAAATCGTAAAGTTTAAGGATGAGCTGAGCGACTGTCATCATCTACCTACAGCAGTCTCATCTTGACAGTCGACAACTGCTGAAATGATACAGACTCGACAGACAAGATGGATATGAAAACATTGTCACGTCAATTCGAATGGCGATGTCGCGTTTCCCCCCTCTTTCTCCAAGGGTATATCCGATAAGTAACGGCAATCAACGCTATTCCTTCTTCTCATCCTTCACTGGGGTATCAATTTCTCTCATTCTCTCCACACGGCGTCCTCTACTTGCCCCCCGGCCAGGACTCATTGAGCCGTCACCCGATCTCTCCATGTGACGGCCCCTCGTGGGACTCAAGGGCGTATCGTACGTGACCCGCCGCGTCTCAATCTCCGGCACCGAGGAGCGGATCCCAGCGTCAGCCTTTTGTTCCGCCTCCTCTGCGGGCTCCGGCAGCTTAATCATGGGCTCCGAGGCACCCAGCACCGGCCGCTTCTCTGCACTTTCGTCATTGATCGTGCCGTCAGATGCGGCTGCACGCTTTCGAATGGCGTTGGCGAGGGTCGCGGCGTCGAGCAGTTCTGATTTTCTCCGCTCACCTTCCTCGTCACTTCCACCGGGACCCCTCGAAGGGGCCCTTGACGCGGCCCGGCTCCTGGTCCGCTCACTGGCCGCGCGGCTCACGGCCCTCGAGTGTCTTCGGCTTGCCCAGCGGCTTCCGCGCCCACCCTCTTCCATGGTGATGGCGTCGCTGTCCCACCCCTCAAAGAGATCGCATGTCTGTAGGCCCCAGCGCTGGTCGTCGCTTATGGATTGGCCATGGCGCTTCAGCAGCAGACCGACGACGACAGGGCCGACAATGGTGCTCAAGACGGTGGCCCACGTGGCTACGATGAAGGCGTCCTCAGAGAGATATGGTGTCTCATTGAGGCCGATCTGGATGATGAGCAGACCGATCTCTCCGCGGGCGACCATGGCGACACCGAGGAGCATGGCGGGCTTCCAGGTCGAGGAGGCGAGCTCGCGGGGACGGAGCATGGGCTTCTCGATCACAAAGTCGCGGACGGAAACGATAGCCCCGACAACGAGCTTGCCCGCGAGCATGAGGAGTGTGAAGACGACGCCGCGCCAGATAGCCTCGCCTGTCCAGAGCTTCTTGAAGGGGATGGCGAAGCCGATGCTCGCGAAGAACATGGGCTGGAGGATGTATGTCTGCGCGCCGAGAAAGTACTTTTCAAACGTGTGAACAAAGGTCGGCGTTTTGTCGGGGTCCGACTCGCCATGTTCACGGTCAAAGACCATGAAGGGTCCGTCTGGATGGATGCATGGCAGGGCGCTAAGGAAAGTGCCGGCTAGGAAGGATCCGTAGAGGGCTGAGGCGCCGGCGAAGCCTGCGATGCTGACAAAGGCACAGAGTGTGACGACCATGAGGAAAATGTTGGAGGTATGCTTATATCGCGCGAAGATGTCCTCGATATACCAGCGGAATATGGGTCCGGCGACAAACTTGGCGACGAGCGGGGTCAGGATGCCGAGGAGGGCGCTCGCGAGGATCGGCCTGCCAATGAGCCAGCCGAGGTTGACGTCGTCGCCTCCGTCTGCCACGGAACCCAGGTTGTGGATGACGCTGGCCATGATGAGGCCTGTCACGTCGCTGACGACAGCTGCGCTGATGAGCACCGTTCCGACCTTCGTCTTGGCAAAATCGATGCCTTTGGCGGCGCTGCCGATCACCACAAAAGTCGTGCCGAGCGATGTCACAGAGAGGGCGGCGCCGATGATGAAGGTCTCGACAGCGCCGTAGCCGAACCCGATGTGAAGAAGAGCAAAGCACAGCCCTATTGGGATGAGGATGCCAATGGCGGCTGCGCAAAAGCTGAGGAAGAAGTTGGCCTTGAGAAGGCCGAGATGAACGGTCAGGCCGCCTGTGATGTCAGCCAGATCCGTCACCGCATGGCAGCTCCGTCAAGGGTGATGTACCTTCAAAAATGATCAGAATGAGCCCGATGTATCCCAGGCTCACGAAAGTCTCCTGCCACTCAATGGGCATAACGTTGCCGATGGGCATGCCATATAGCAGACCGACGATCATTTGGCCAATGAGGCCGGCCTTGAAGATTTTGTCGGATATCCATTCTGCGAGGGCGAGGAAAAAGAAGAACGAGATAATGATAAGAATCTGTTGAACCTGAGGCTCATGGTATTCGAGAAAGCCCGCAGCAGCAGCAGCGTCGGCGTCGCCAGCCATCACACAGATGCCGTGACGTCAATAGCCTCGTTTCTGTTTGCCTGATGAATCGATGGAACAAGGTCGCGGAGTAGTGGTAGGACTCGGTCTGGTCTTTCAGTCTGCACAGACTACGAAGGCTCAGTTCTGGGTCGAGGGGACACGCAAACTAAATAAGACAACCCGCCAGAAGTCATGTACTCCCTGTATTATGAAGTAACAGTCCGTAGCGTCCCAGTCCCATGGTCTTGTCCCCGGCTGGCTTCGGGCAGGACCCGTGTAATGATGCCAAGGTGGCCGTGACCCCAGAAATGTGGACGTCGACAGGCTCTTCCCACCCAATTTCAGCTACAGCCCTTGAATGCTTTTTGCACCCTGGGTCCCTGGGACGGGAGCCGTGCCGGACCAGGGTGTCTTCACGTTGCGGGCGGGAAGGCTCGCCACGGACGACTGGGCGATAATGAGCTATGATATCAGGGCGTCTGGGCGGAACTTCGCCTCAACGCCGAGACATGGGGCGGGAGCACTAGAACGGTGCCAACATTGCACATGTTGCATGGTAATTTGTCCCGATTGGTGCAGAGTGGAAAACACTACGCTTTCGCGCGGTACTTCAGGCCAGTCGATGGGTTCCCAAGAGATTCTATGGTCCCCCCTGACGCGTCATTGAAAGCAAACAAGCATGAGGCCATCAAGCGATCCGAGCCTTGAGATGGACGCCTGCTGTAGATTTGAGAATGAGGACGCCCGAAACAAGGAGACAATGGTGCACCGTCATTCAGTGTTTCTTAGAACGCCAAGTGAAAGAGAGGGTGTGGCCTGTGACGATGAGATGTGACAGAGGTGAGAAATGCAAGACAAGTACTTACGCTTGGCCAGAATTGACAGCGGGTAGGATGTGTAGCTTAGGACAGGTCTCTGGTTTCAGTCCAACGTGCTGCGTTGTAAGACTCCAGCTGGTCTTTGACGCACAGACCGAAAGACAAGCAGTGAGTACAAGCACAAGCACAGGCAAGCCAGGGCACCCTGACGGCGAACCATGTGCTGTCAAGGTCCCAATCTCGCGGGCTCCGTGGCCTGGTGCTGGTGTAGCATTCCCACTGATGAGACATGACCAGATACGGGAAGATTGGGCAGCCCCCCTCTCCTTTGCAAGGAGCCGCACTGACGGCGCCCCCTTCCCGGGTGACATGGGTCTTGATCCGGCAACGAAGAAAGAACATTATTTTGATGCCATGTCAGAGACGCGAGCTCGCGACATCTGGTCTCGTGGTGCCGGGGACAGAGGCCAATAGACGAGCAACTTGATATCTTCAACGAGTCCGATGGGGCGATTGGTATCACATTGACCTGATGCAATGTAGATAGTGGTACAGTGCTGAAGGTGAGACAGAGATGCGTCGGAAAGGGTTCAGCTGCCAGAAAGAAAAGAATTGAATAGCTTCCTGATTACATTCACCGCCGAATCGAGAGGCGGTCTGTTGTTTGTGTGTAGTGATGGATATCACGATGCCATTCATTGGTGTTGATGGTGTCTGTCGAGACAGGAGGCTGATGAGCCTGTCAAGCACGAACAGAGCCCCAAGCTTCAGGGGATCTGGGGATCTTGACCAGGCTTCTAGTCGGGCCCCTCCACTTCACGCTGATTGACGTGATTCAGCCGATAGAGATGCTGACCTAATCAGCCACAAGGCAGCCAGCCAATGCGACGCTTTTCTGCTACTCTCGAATTCGAGGTGGATCCCCCCTTTGCCATGAACGGCGAAAAAAGTACACATCTTCCTCTCCCGCTCTCCACACAAGGTCTGGTCGCTCCACCACACATCGGACCCTCGCCTTCGACGAGCTTCTGTTCCGTGCCGCCCGTCAACAGGCCACGATACGACTTGTCTCCTGAACCTCAACGGACCACGGAGCCGACACTCTGCGACTGCAACCCGCGTATCCCCCCCGAAGACGCCGATGCAGTGACGAGCCGAATCACCCGCATTCGACGAAACACCTCATAGCTTTCGTCGCGATACTTTTTTCTTTTCTCTTGACGCTCCTCCTTGCGCGACCGGCAACCGTCAGGGCATCATTGCCCACCATGGCGCCCCTTGTCGATAACTCCCAGATCAAGGCGGCGGAGCTGTGGAAGCCGCTGCCTCTGTATCTCCACGCCTACATCTGGCCCTTCGCCGTCATCTGGCCCGTCTTCCTGCGCTACTACCTGACCACCGACCTGTACGACAAGTACATTTCCTCCGAGGAATGGACTTTTGTCTGGATCGCCACCATCACCACCCTGCAGTCTCTCGTCTGGCTCTGCACCCACTGGAGCGTCAACCTCCAGACTCTTTTCACGGCCACCCGCGCCAAGACCATTGAAGATGCCGAGCTCATCAAGGTCCTGCCCGTCGCCAACGCTGGATCGCCCGAAGTTTGCACCATTGTGCGCGACACTGTAGGTTGCTCCTCCTCCCTTCCTCCCAGCTTGCTGCTTGCTGGCCTTCCACCTCGAGCCTCGAGCATGTGCTGACCCCTTCTTCTAGACCAACGGCCGTACGAACACGTCGTTCCTCTTCCAGAAGCGCCGATTCCTCTACGTCCCCGAAGAAAAGACGTTCCGCACTCTGGTATATGCCATCGACGCTGAGCCAAAGCCTAGCATCGCCCAGTTCCAAAAGTCGAAGGGTATCGCCACCCAGGCCGAGCTCACCCGCATTCAGGAGCACTATGGACCCAACACGTTCGACATCCCCGTTCCCACCTTTAGCGAGCTCTTCAAGGAGCACGCCGTCGCCCCTTTCTTCGTTTTCCAAATCTTCTGCGTCGGCCTGTGGATGCTCGATGAATACTGGTACTACTCGCTGTTCACCCTCTTCATGCTCGTCGCCTTTGAGAGCACCGTCGTCTGGCAGCGCCAGCGGACCCTCATGGAGTTCCGTAGCATGAGCATCAAGCCCTACGAGATCTACGTCTACCGCCTCGGCAAGTGGACCGAGATTATGAGCGACCAGCTTCTGCCCGGCGATCTTGCCTCTGCCGGCCGTACCAAGGAGGACGGTGGCGTTGCTTGCGACATGCTCCTCGTCGAGGGCACTGCCATTGTCAACGAGGCCATGCTGTCTGGTGAGAGCACCCCGCTTCTCAAGGACTCCATCCAGCTGCGGCCCCAAGATGCCGCCATCGAGCCCGAAGGACTTGACAAAAATGCCTTCCTCTGGGGCGGCACCAAGGTCCTCCAGATCACCCACGGTAACCCCGACGAGGTCAAGCCCAAGCTGATCTCCGGCGTCCCCCCCCCTCCTGATAACGGAGCCATGGCCATTGTGCAAAAGACTGGCTTTGAGACCTCGCAGGGCAGCCTCGTCCGCACCATGATCTACTCGACCGAGCGCGTCTCCGCCAACAACGTGGAGGCCCTCTTCTTCATTCTCTTCCTCCTGATCTTCGCCATTGCCGCTTCCTGGTATGTCTGGGACGAGGGTGTTCGCAAGGACCGCAAGCGCTCTAAGCTTCTGCTCGACTGTGTCTTGATCGTCACCAGCGTTGTGCCCCCCGAACTTCCTATGGAGCTCAGTCTTGCCGTCAACACCAGCCTTGCCGCCCTGGCCAAGCTTGCCATCTTCTGCACCGAGCCCTTCCGCATCCCCTTTGCTGGACGCATCGATGTCGCTTGCTTCGACAAGACGGGTACTTTGACTGGTGAGGATCTTGTTGTTGAGGGTATCGCCGGCCTCGGTCTTGTCGGACACACTGGCGCTGATACCCCTCGGGAGTCTGACGGTGCCCACTCTCACATGACCGCTGTCAAGGACATCGGCCTCGAGACGACCCTGGTTCTGGCTTCTGCCCATGCTCTCGTCAAGCTCGACGAGGGCGAGATTGTTGGTGACCCCATGGAGAAGGCCACTCTCACCTCGATTGGTTGGACTATTGGCAAGAACGATGTGCTTCTGGCGAAGCCCGCCACTGTGGCCACTACTGGCATCAGCGGCAACGTTCAGGTTAAGCGTCGTTTCCAGTTCTCGTCCGCTCTCAAGCGCCAGAGCTCCGTTGCGACCATTAGCGGCATTGACAACAACACTGGAAACAAGCTCCGTGGCACTTTTGTTGGTGTCAAGGGTGCGCCCGAGACCATCATGAAGAGACTCACGACTGTCCCCGCTGATTACGAAGAAACCTACAAGTACTTTACACGCCGCGGATCCCGTGTCCTCGCGCTGGCCTACAAGCAGCTGAGTACGGAGGGCGAACTGAGCAGTGGCAAGATCAACGACCTCAAGCGTGAGCAGGTCGAGTGCGGCCTTACTTTTGCCGGCTTCCTCGTCCTGTCCTGCCCTCTCAAGGAAGATGCCAAGGAAGCCGTTCAGATGCTCAACGAGAGCAGCCACCGTGTCGTCATGATCACCGGAGACAATCCTCTCACCGCCGTCTATGTCGCTCGCGATGTCGAGATTGTGGATCGTGACGTCCTCATCCTCGACGCTCCTGAGGACAACGACGACGGCGACAAGCTCGTCTGGAGAAGTGTGGACGACAAGATCAGCATCCCCGTGGACCCTACCAAACCCATCGACCCCGAAATTATCAAGACCAAGGATCTCTGTGTTACCGGTTACGCTCTCGCCAAGTTCAAGGGCCAGCAGGCCTGGTTCTCCATCCTCCGTCACACCTGGGTCTACGCTCGTGTGTCGCCCAAGCAGAAGGAGGACATCCTTCTCGGTCTCAAGGAGATGGGCTACTACACTCTGATGGCTGGCGATGGCACGAACGACGTCGGTGCTCTCAAGCAGGCCCACATTGGTGTCGCCCTTCTCAACGGTACCCAGGAGGACCTTGTTCGTATTGCTGAGCACTCTCGCAATACTAGGATGAAAGACATCTACCAGAAGCAAGTCGAGATGATGAAGCGCTTCAACCAGCCTGCCCCCCCCGTCCCTGTCCTGATCGCCCACATGTACCCTCCGGGCCCGAGCAACCCCAACTTCAACAAGGCTGTCGAACGTGAGGCCCAGAAGAAGAAGGTTTCACCCGAAGAGTACGTCAAGGCTCAAGGATACGACGTTGAGACCATCACTTCGCCCGCCGCTCAGCAGCTCATCAACTCTGACCCTAAGAACCGCAATGCCCAAGCCCAGAAGAAGGCCGCCAACCTCGCCGACAGGATGACCACCAGCCTCATGGAGAATGAGCTCGACGACAACGAACCCCCGACTCTCAAGCTCGGCGACGCTTCCGTTGCTGCGCCCTTCACGAGTAAGCTCCGCAACGTCATTGCCGTTCCCAACATTATTCGCCAGGGCCGTTGCACACTTGTCGCCACCATTCAGATGTACAAGATTCTCGCCCTCAACTGTTTGATCACCGCCTACAGTCTCAGTGTCCTCTACCTCGAGGGTATCAAGTTTGGTGACGGGCAGTACACCATCAGCGGCGTTCTCATGAGCGTCTGCTTCCTGTCCCTGTCCCGTGCCCGTGTTGTCGAGGGTCTGTCCAAGGAGCGCCCTCAGCCTAACATCTTCAACTTTTACATTATTGGCTCGATTCTCGGCCAATTCGCCATCCACATTGTGACTCTCATCTACGTTGCCCGTCTGTGCGACCGTCTTGAGCCGTAAGTTTCTCACTATTTTTTGGGTGACTGCAGTTGAACCATGCTAACCTAATTTTCAGTCGCTCCGACAACGTCGACCTCGAGGCTGAGTTCTCGCCCAGCCTGCTCAACAGTGCCGTCTACCTCCTGCAGCTCATCCAGCAGATCAGCACCTTCGCCATCAACTATCAGGGCCGTCCCTTCCGCGAGTCCCTCTCCGAGAACCGCGGCATGTTCTGGGGCATCCTCGGCGTCTCGGCCCTCGCCTTCTCTTGCGCCATGGAGCTCGCGCCCGAGATCAACGAGCAGATGAAGCTTGTACCCTTCACCGACGAGTTCAAGACAACCATGACGTCCGTCATGGTGTTTGACTACGCGGCCTGCTGGACCATCGAGGTCGTCCTGAAACGCCTCTTCTCCGACTTCCGCCCTCGCGACATCGCGGACCGCCGGCCCGACCAGCTCGAGCGCGAAAAGGTGCGCAAGGCCGAGGCCACCCAGAAGCTCATCGCCGAGCAGGAGAAGGCTGAGGAGGAGAAGATTGCTGCGCTCGAGAAGCAGATTGCCGACAGGCGGCAGCAGGTGGCCAACTGGCGTCGCGGTGGCCCGGCGCAGTAGACACATGTACATGTGCGCCCCCTCCCTGGAGATGATGGGTGAGGGCATCACTGCCTGATGGTCTCCCTCTAGCCGTGTATAGACCTTTTTTCTCTAGATGTTGTTAGTAGACATGCATGGCATTCTAATTGATCTATCCCGCTTGTTCAATCCCATAGTTTCGAAGTGATGTTTGACCATGTCATCTCTAACATCAAAAGCCGTCTTCATCGAGATCAAATATCACGAACGGGGCGAAAAGCAGGGACAGAGGATAGGGTACGAAGCATGTTAGACTATGGTACAGCGAGCAGACCCGAAGTCGAGCTCAAGAGAAGAAAGGGAGAAGCAGAGCCGTTCAAGGCGATTTCGCCCCCTTGCCACTATTTTTCTCTCCCTCCCTAGGCATGACCATCCAGCTCTTGGAATGGCGGCCGCGGGACGGGAGCAAGATCGATTTGCTTCGAATCAGCAGGTTTCGCACCGTTCGTCATTCCCGATCCGTCCGTATATCATTATGACCATCACCATCTTACACTCAGCACCAACAGCAGCCCCTCCCCCTTTTGCCAGCCCTCACCCATGAGGATAAAGAGGAGAGAAGACGAGAAGGGGCAAGGGGAGAGGGAGCGAGACGCTTATTTGGGGGGGTTAGAAGCGACAAAGGCGACACCCTTGGCGATGTTCTTCTTGAGGTCGCCGAAGCAGGCCTCGAGGAGGCGCTCCTCGACAGCGTCGACGGAGCCGACGGGGTGGATCTTCTCGACACCGTTGGGGCCGAGCTCGACCTTGGAGGAGAAGAAGTCAATGCCCTGGTCCTTGTAGAGGGGCGAGTCGACAAAGGTGGGCTCGACAATGCCCTTCTCGCCCTGGGAGGCGCGGAGCAGGGACTCGGCCATGCGGGCACCGGCCATGGCCATGGAGAGGGTGGCGGAACCGGCACCGTCCTTGGCCTTGACGACCTCGTCACCGCCGAACTGAACGCGGTTGATAAGGGCATCGTTGGAGGACAGGTCGGGGTGGTTGGACTGGCTGAAGAGGGGGACAATGGTGACACCGGAGTGGCCGCCGACGACGGTGATGTCCTCGTCCTTGGGGTCGGTGCCCTTGATCTCGGAGACGAAGCGCGAGGCACGGACAACGTCGAGGGTGGTGACACCGAAGAGGCGCTTGGGGTTGTAGACGCCAGCCTTCTTGTAGACCTCGGCGCAGATGGGGACAGTCGAGTTGACGGGGTTGGCGATGATGAGGAGGTTGGCCTCGGGAGCCGAGTCGGCGGCGGCCTTGGCGAGGTCGCGAACGATGGAGGCGTTGGTGTTGAAGAGGTCATCACGGGTCATGCCGGGCTTGCGGGGAACACCGGCGGGGATGAGGACAACGTCAGCACCCTTGAGGGCGGCGGCGAGACCGGCGGGGGTGGCCTCGTAGCCGGTCACCTTAGACTTGGTGTTGACGTGGGAGATGTCGGCAGCGACACCTGCATTGGTTTGGCTCGTCAGTCATTTGTGCATGTAGGCATGGTGACACGACAGGAGTTCGTACCGGGACCGCCGCGAATGTCATAGAGGGCGAGCTCAGTGACACGGGGGTTGAGCTTCAGGAGCAGAGAGAGAGGCTGGCCGATGCCGCCGGCGGCGCCGAGAACGGTGACCTTGGAGAGCTGTGGCGGATCTTGTCAGCATGTGTTGCCTTCAGAGACCGAGGTATATTCTCGGGAGCTAGATGCCGAGCTTCGCAGCAACAAGTGCTCGGAGCTTTACTGGCTTGCTGCTTCGCAGCTGGGCCAGCTCTCGGCTTCCGAGCGAGGGAAGGGGACAGGGAGGAAGACGTACGTCACGGGCGGTGGCCGAGAACATGCGGCGCTGGATCCTAGGGGCGAACATTGTGACTGAAGGGGCTGCTGAAGACGGCCTGGAGAATGTGCTGATGACGGACGGGTTGGGTATAGAAGTGATGGAAGGATGTAGAGCGCGAAATAATAAGGACGAGGAAGGGGGATGGTGTGCCGTGAAAAAAGATGGGCGCCGACATAGGATGTCTGGCAGCCATTCGTCGCTGTGGTTCGTTGAGCCGGGAAGGCCACTAGCGCTACCCAAAGTAGAATAGCGCCATCTCACTCGTTGGCCTTCCCATTGTATCCGGTTGATTCCGGGGGAGGGTCGGCGAAATGTCGGGTTGCCTGGAGTGCCCGTCGTCCGACAAAGCCCCAGCTTGACTATTGACCGGGGGGGGGGGGGGGGGGGGGCAGCTTGGCCGGCTGAGTCTGTCGGTGACGTGGGGTTGTGGCCCTGTGCATCACAATGAATCACTGAAGCTTACCTAGCTCGTCGAGACGCAAGGGACCTACCTATTGATAGAAAACCAAGCACCTCGCCGTGATCAACATCCACCACCAGCTAAAACCGACCAGCGGATCATCATGTCGCTCGTGCAGCTACAGCGACTGCTACCGCTGCCGGAAGAGGAATTGAAGCAGGTCCTTGACTATGGCGCGACATTATCCAAGTCCGAGGCCGCTGAGCATTTCGGTAACCTGTTGGGTGACTCCCCGCAAGCCATAGAATTCATCTCGTCGTTCAACTCGCGACGCAAAGACACCAAACCCGTGCCAACCCCAAATTACACCCCAGAAGCAAGCTCTGCGAACAACAGCGATGCGCCAAACGATGGTGTCCCCAGGCCGAGGCGAGGGCAGAAGAAGAAGAAGCTGGCCTTGCACACCCCTCCTCCCCGACAAGTCGAGGCCTTCCCCACGCCTGGTCTCAGCTACAGCAAGAAGAGTCAGCAAGAAGACTACATTGGCAAGCGACCGAGTCCCGCGCCCACTGCGGCAGCCAGCTCCTCGGCATCCAAGCCTCCCGCGAAGGGGGCGACACCCGCTCCTGCTCCTGCTCCTGCCCCTCCGGCGCAGAGAACAGCCGCCGGCTACCTTATATCAGAGGGCCCGCAGAAGGCGAAGGCCAAGTCCAACCCTGTGAGCCGCTCGTCGACACCCAAACCCGGCGCGACGACCAAGGTGTCCATCGCTGGCGGCACGCCTATGGCTGGTGCCTCGACCGCCCTCAACGACCTCGATGCTGCCATCAGAACGCTTGAGATGACGACAAACCCCACATTACAGGACAACGTCAACGCCCGTCGGTGCAACTGTGTTGGTGCACGCCATGGCGTCCAGGCGGCAGCTCCAAACTGTCTGTCCTGCGGCAAGGTCATCTGCCTTAAGGAGGGGCTTGGTCCATGTACTTTCTGTGGAGCGCCGCTCCTCAGCTCTGCAGACGTTCAGGCCATGGTCCAAGAACTCAAGCTTGAAAGAGGTCGGGAGAAGATGGCGGCCGATCGGGAAATTCACAAACGTGCCGAAGTCAGCAAGAAACCGGCGCCTTTCAGTCAGTTTAAAACAAGCAGCAGCAGCAACAGCCCTACCGATAATCCGCAGTCGTCCGAGGCGGAAGCTAGGGCCAAGGCACATAGAGACAAGCTATTGAACTTTCAGGCTCAGAATGCGCAGCGGACAACGGTGCGCGACGAGGCGGCAGACTTTGACGTTTCCGGGGCCGTGGCCGGGACGGGGGGCAACATGTGGTCGACGCCAGAGGAGCGGGCGAAGGAGCTAAAGCGGCAGCAGAAGATTCTTCGCGAGATGGAGTGGAATGCCCGTCCCGAGTACGAAAAGCGACGTCAAATCGTCAGTATCGATCTTGTGGGCGGACGGGTTGTGAAGAAGATGGCGGCTGTCGAGCGGCCGCCGTCACCAGAGCAGGAAGAGGATGACTACCAAAGGGACCAGGAGAACTATACACCACAGCCTCGAGGTGGCGGGGGTGCTTTTAGCCGCAACCCCCTCCTAGGCCACATGATTAAGCCCGTTTACGAGCTGAAAGGAAAGGCAGCGGAGCTTCAAGGCCGGCGGGATCGCAAGACGCAGTGGCGGCGGGTGCAAGATGACCTTCGGGATAACGAGGCTGTGATATTAGATGGAGGCGCGCATGGACACGCATCGACAGCGGATGAGCCGGCATGCGGGTGAGTTGAAGGCTTTGATGCCCCATTAATACCAGCATCCGAATATGACAGTGACGTGAGGTGAATCATTCTCAGCAAAGCGAAGCTGATGAACGTGGTGTTTCAGACAAAACCTCGTCGCTGGGAGAGTGTGCTCCAAGTTGACAAAACACGACTTGACCAATCATTAGAGCGATTGCTGCGGCAAAAGCAAACAAGATTTGGTGCACGTGACTTCGTGTCGTCCTGATCCCAGCACCCGCAGCACGCCATCTGTAGAAGGACAAGTGGGCCGCGAGTCAGGGACGGATGCGAAGGCGGCATAAGCGAGTCGGCCGGTTGCAACACCTTGAAGATCTTTGGTCTGGGTTCAAATTACAGGACGCAGGAGTGACCGAGGCTATGAAAAGGCAAGACAATCAGAGCGATGCTTCCACTGATGCCAGGGAATTGAGAAACAATGAAGGCAATAGGACTGAGGTTGTGGCCATTGGTACTTGCCAAGTTCTCGTGACTCGTTTCGGCCACGCCTGCCCCAGAAGGTCAGGCGTCAAGTTAGCCCCTGCACTGGTCTTGGTCCTCGGGCGGAGAACCCCCAGTGGCAGGCCGCGGTTCGCTGTGCTTGGTCGCTCCAGTGGACCTTGCCAGCCGGTCGCGGGCAGGCACACCCTGACACCCCCAAAGCACCAGCCGGTCGACGCAGTGTGCTGCACCCCCCTCAGGCCCGCTCCTGCCTACAGCTGTCTGGCTGGTGTGCTGCGCAGCGAAAAACGCGTCCGCTGAAGAGTGAGGGGAGGCACACCGCGTTAATCGCTTGCGCCTTCCCCCTTCCCACCTGGATCCGGCTCACACTCAGCGTCTGGACTCACCCAGTGTCTGGACTGGAGCCCACCGCCGCTTCCAATCCAGCTATTCCCTCCTCGTCGTTGTCGTTCTCGTTCAGGCTTACCTTGACGTCCTCATCCGTCCCTTCCTCCTCATCAATTCTACGTACCCAATTCACCCACCTCATCCCCGACAGGACAGGCGTCAACCTACAGGCCGCGTCACAGCACGCTCGCCTTCATCATTCGCCCTCCCGCTCCGGTCATGATCGTACATCCAAGCCCGTCATCCTGACCCTCCACCTCACCCGTCTCGGCTCAAACCGCCTCGCCTGGGACGTACACGTATGCGTTTGCCAGGCTTCCACATTTGTACCTTGGACAGCAGCACGTCGCAGCCGGTTCACCAACTTCCCATCGCCATCTGAGACACACTCGCAAATACCGCGACCCATCAACGTCAGTCCCAGCATACCCGTACTCGCATGCAAAGTACGACGACCAGCGTTATGGACGCAGTAACCCGGCCGCATCAGCTGGGCCATGCACATACGGGTACAGGCACCACCACTCATGACGCCAACGCCTCCTACGGCCGCTCCCAAATAGGCCACGCCGGTTCTGGCCACGACGGGAGGTTACTGTCGGATAATCTGCATCGATACGCCTCTTCCACCTCGGCGCCCGACGCGCCTGCTGCGGCACCACCCACCCGAGACGCGCCATCACGAAATCCCGCTGTCGCTGCCCACCTCGCGCAGCCACCACAACCACACGGTGTCGTCGATGCTCTCCATACCCTCGCACATCTCTCGGACGCTGCCGCCGCCGCTGCCGCACGACGACCACACGCTCCGCCTCATCAATTGACACCCGACGATACGTCCCAGGACACGACACTGACCATCGAGTCGGACAACGTCTTTACCCCGCCTACCAGCCAACCGAGCCAACCCAGCCAGGGCGACGTCCCCAAAAGCCACATGAGCGGACAATCGTCGAGCCAGGAGTCCCAGCTTCTCCAGCTCTCTCGGATTGCTGCTGCACAGGACAAGATGTACAACCCCGAGGCGACTTCTCTATCGCGCAAGAGGACAGCCGACGGCGCAGTCAAGGACACCAACGTGTCGCCCGTGCGCGGCGGTCACTCCAGAAACACGAGTGCAGTCTCTTTAGCGTCGACGACGACAAGCACTATTGGCGATGTAAGTTCACCTACAATCTACGCTATGGGAAATTGCTAACCATGTGCAGCTATCGAGCGACCTCAAGACGCGTCTCTCGTACGCCATGGTCAAGTTGAATCACGGCTGGCAGTCACATTCTATCGACGAGGTCGAGTCGATGGCTTCACAAGCCGCTTCACCCACATCCAGTCATTCGACACTGCACGGCCGCTACGAGAACTCGGCTAGCCCTCGAACCGCCATGCTGGCTGCAGCCCGAAGTGGTCCTCACAGCGCGACGACGAGCAGCTCCAACCCGAGCCCGGCGGCATACGATACGTTTTGGAGGGATGGCGCGCAGCCTCTATCTCGTCGTGGTCATAACTCTGCGTCACCGCCAGGCGCCGTACAGCCAGTTCTGAGCCTAGCACCTCCAGCCTCTATCCAGCCTTCACGATCGACAGCCGCCCACAACCCGCGTCGTAATTCCAACCCCCACTACACGCCGACGCTCCTCTCCCATTCCCACAGCGCCTCTCCTCATACGCCTGCCCAACAGAGCTCGCTGCAGGGAACCCCATTACAACGCGTGGGTCGGACGCCCCTGGCCGACCCCATTCTGTTTTCGCCCCACCAGAATGTGCGAGAGCAGGACGCTATCGAAACGCTGCTCTTCATGAGCAGCCCCGGCAACTCTACCAACATGAAGCACGGCTACGCACCTGCGACATCATCGTCACAGCCGCTTCCAGGCACACGCCACGCCCTGCCAACGTCGCAGCCCCGAAAGAGCCTACCCAGCCACAGGCCACAGCCGCCTCCGAAGCGTGTTGGCTTTGAGAAGAGCACGAGCATGATGGAAATGGATGTGGATGCTGATTCGCAGACGGGGACCCCTCGAACGGCCGTGCGGAGACGCGTGAACGGAGGATTCGGTCATCGGAGCCAACTGTCGCTGCCGGCGGGCTTGGGGAGCGGACACTCGCGACCGCGGCCAAAGCTGGCGGACGAGGACATTGAGCGGATGCTGGACCGCGTGGCGCAAGCTGACAACGATAGCTCGGACGACGAGGAGATTCTACTGCCAAACCGACGTGAGGGGGAGATTGTAGGTTAGTGGTCAACGGCATCTGGTGGATTTGTAACGAATAATGACTGGCGTTTGGGACGATTATGCCGTTCCTTAGGAACAGGCTCGTTATGTCTGGTGCCTCGAGAAAGAGCTTCGTTCTGGGCGGGGTAGAGTGCTGGGCCTAGCCTAGACGACTTGAAGCTGTGAATAGTAAAGACCAGGAGACACGGCTTGTACGGCGGGCGATGTGGCAGTTATCTGAATGAGCGAGATCGTCTAGCAGTAAAATCGGGTCAGTATTATAACAAGCACATGTGCTCGTGGATTGGCTTGGTTTGCAAGTGAAGAGGTATTCATTCGTCGAGGGGCTTTGCAGACCCGACGCAATCAAGAAAAAAAGGTGTATCTAACAGTTGAAAAGACCCAATGCCTATGTAAAACAGTACCCGTCGTTCGTCATTACATCATGCAGCCGTCATAATCAGCACACGCGCCTCCTGCCTGTCCTTTCCTTTCTTTTACCGCTTGCCGAGCAGATTCTGGACGGAGCCCATGAGGCCGCCACTGCTGCTGCTGCTGCCATGGTGGCTCTGATACGGGGCACCGTAGCCCTGGTTGTACTGGTTCTGCTGCGGGTACTGGCTGCCGTGGTGGCCCCCGTGGTGTTGCTGCTGGTGGTGGGACTGCTTGTGGCTGTTCTTGGAGCTGAAGCGGTCCTCGACCTTGTTGGCGACGATGGAGCCGACGACGGCGCCAGCCATGGCGCCGAGCTTGCCGCCCATGATCTTCTTGCCAATGAAGCCGCCGGCGGCGCCGCCGCCAATGGTGGACATGATGCCGCGGTCGCCGTCCTCGCCAAACTGGGCGTCCGAGCCGGCGGGGCCGTCGCGGCTGTGTTGCTGCTGCTGCTGCTGCTGCTGCTGGTTGTGGCCGCCGTAGGAGGAGTTTTGGTCGGCGTAGGTGGGCTGGCCGCCGCCGTACGAGTGGTGGGACTGAGCGCTCGTGGGGCGCGAGTTGGGGTTAGGCGCCGCGCCGTAAGGCGCTAGGTGGTTGTTGTTGTTGCTCGAGGGGGCGGGGGAGCCGGCGTACGAGGGCTGAGAGGGGTAGCCCTGGGTTTGGGCGTACGTCGGCTGCTGCTGGGCATACTGGGGCTGGGAGGGGTAGCCTTGGGCCTGGCCGCCGTACGAGGGCTGGCCGTTGCCGTAGTAGTCTGAAGCGGACATTTTGAGGTGTGAGTTGTTGTGAGTTGATCCGATGTGAAAGCTTGAGGTTGCTGCAGATGATGGAAGTCTGGTCTTGTAGGTGATTGTGTTGGTGAGGCGATGGGTGATATGACTTGGTTCTGGTCAGGTCAGGTGTGTCTAGCCACGAGGAACATGAACGGCGTCATGGGAAGGAACTGTTATATAACACACACACTCAAGGCTGACGCGGACACATCAGAGGGGCCGAGCAGGCCGGGTCATGGGGACCATGTCCACGGATGGCGAGCTACAGACACCGGCGTCCGAGGCGGGGGCGAAGCTACGGGTTTAGCTGGGCTTAGCACGGCGGGGTGGGTGGTCGTCCGCCAGCAGCAGCAGCCAGCAGCAGCCAGCAGCAGCCGCAGGTCTCTGGGGTGTTTTGCGATTGGGCATAGAGCGAGCTCGTCTGCTTCTCTGCTGCCTGGGCGCTCACCCGCTGCTGGCTGCGTGCTCACGGTTCTCGTAGTGCAGGTGCGAGGCAGGCGCAGCGCTGTGGCAGGCCCAAAGGCAGACCCACAGGCAAACCTGAGGTACCTTACCTTAGACAGTATCTCTTTTGCTTCGGGTGGTACAGGGCTGGCTCCAGCGCAGCGGGGGCTGTGACTTGCAAGCTGCGGGTGACGTGCTCCGCCACTACGCCCCCCCGACAAGCCTCAGCGGGTGGAGGTTTCGGACAGCCCAAGTGTCATGTGACCTTGGCGGCGTGGCTCTCCTTCCGC